AGTTGTAAGAGAGAAACTTTTTGTACAAAAGTAGCTTGCCCCCACTCACTTTCAGCATTCATTTTGGCCAATAAACTCCCCAATTGCAGCTTTGGCCAAGTATGCCACACCGGGGCATGCCATTGACACCCATGCGATTGTTGTTAATTAATTAAAAATAAAAATAAATAAATACTCATAGACGATTCCGTTGACAAGATAAAATGGCCAAAGCCACACAGGCTCACACACACAGACGAACAAATAAAACAAAAACCAAAGATACAGATACTCAACCAACACATGCAAACACGACTCCAGCCCCGAGTGTAATAAATTGTGACAAAAAAAATAAAGTAACAGCCACAAAATCTATATACTGGCTGAGGCGTCAAGGTGCGACATTGACCCTGCTGCAAGTAGCTGCTGCCTCGTGTCTGTGTGTGGCACACAAATCTAAAGCAAACTGGGAGTAGCACAGTATATAGTACGTTATCGTTGCAAGCACAATAAAACATTGCATTTAAGAGTGCACAAATGGTCGGCGGAGTTGGTGTTTTCGGTTTTCCATACCACCGCTTATAATTACACTGTGCTACAAAGGCAAGCAACGGAAGGTTCAGATTCAACGTAAAACCAAATACAAACTAAAAACCAAAAAGGGAACCATGACAGAATACTCCTACAGAAGATCTATGATATTAGAGGCCGGTCATAAGCTAAGAACAATTTACTGATGTTTTAAGAGCTTTTCCAAAGCGGTTTTAAAAGAAAAAAAATATTATCTTCTAAAATAAAAAAATGGTATAATATTAATTTATTGTTAAAAGCGTTATTTTATTAACAAAATTGTTATATGTCTGAAAAGTAATTGCTATCTGGCCCTGTACTAAAGGTGTCTACTTTTATTTACATTATTCTTTAAAGTTGTTTTTTTTTTATACCATAAGAGAACTTTTTTGTATCAATCGATCGTTCATATATGATACAGGATTAATATTAACTATTGCAACATAAGATCTGTTGGATCATATATTTTCTAAGTTATATTCTAAAGAGACTTTCAGTATCGAATTTTAGTTATTTTAATAATATTCGAAGTTTTCTCTTCCATAGATTAGATTCCCTTACAGATCCAAATACTAAACATATATCAGATTCAAAATGTGCAAATTATCACCCAGATAGCTGTAAAATTTCATAAAAATAAACTGAAAGATGGACATGGCTATAACTACATATTTCGAAATCTATAGATGCTGATCTTAAATATATGACTATTGACTTTAGACTTTAGAGGGCTGTAAATTTATAAAAATACCATCACTTGCAGCTAAACTTACTATGTTTAAAAAAACCTAAAATTTTACTGAACCTAAATTGAAAACACCCGAAATTTTGTTGATCAGTGCTCGTATCAGGCGGCAGTCAGGGCCCGACTTAACCTTGCCAAAGCAGTTATTCTTGCTCCGTTGTTCTGCTGCTGCTGCTGTTGTTGCAGCTGCAGGCAATGCCACTTTGCAACAGCAGTAACAGCCGCAACAACAACAGCAACAATATGGAACACAGCTGTGCCACAGAAAAAAAAAATATAAAAGAATAAAATGATAGCCAAGTTCTGGGTACTTGGGGGAAAAAAAAAATGTAGAAACAATTATTGCCATTAGCAAATTGGAAATATTTTGCTGTGCTGTTGGGCTACGATTTGTACAATTTTCTCACGGCACTGGGTTGCTGTGCTGTGGAGGAAAAGAAAAGCCTTTCACAAAAAGGCTCTTCTCATCCGAGACTTTCCACCAATTGGTTTGTCAATAAGCCACAATTGAAATCAGTGATCATCTTCATAATTAGCCAGCAGCAGCCAGCTGAAGAGAGCCAGACAGCAAATGGTGTTAAGGAAAGAGAGGCATATAGATATAAAGATAGAGATGGAGAGAGAGAGAGAGAGAGAGACGCAGAGAAAGAGGGTCTAGGGTAAAAAAATGTAATTTGTTTTCACACAACATAATCAACATGATAACCCCGACCAAAAACGTCTTTAGATTGAGTCTAATGATGATAAACGCTTTTACTGTGAGGTAACTACAGACTCCTGACACCGACGCAGAGACCCCAGAAACCCAGACAGATACAGATGGGTGTAGAGGGAGTCAGTCCAACTGTCTGACCGGCTGCCCGCCTGCCTGCCTGCTTGCCTTTCAGCCTTGCCTCTGCCTTGTGCCTGGTTGCTGCTTGGGCCAATAATAAGTCAACATTCCAAGGCGTGTTAAGAGATGCTCGATTAAATGCCTCAATTGTGGCTCATATTGAACACCAGCGGGCAGCGGGCAACGGACAGCGGGCACCCCGGTTGAACGTAGCCACATTCGACGATCCGCGGCCGAACATCGACACCACACACCACCTGTCCGCAAAAGGGTAGAAGAAGCAGCAGGCAGGCAGGCAGCCAAATAGCACGCCCCCACCAACGGTCAACTTTCAGTCGTTTTTCCCCTCTGTAGTTGCTGTTTGCTGTTTGCTGTTCCTTTTTCCATTGCCTGATGCCTTGCCTGACTTTTAGCACTGTCGACGATCCAACAACAACGACGGCGACGACGACGACGACGACTGGGCGAAATCGTTTAGTGTCGTACCTAACTAAGAAAACGTATTTTCAATATCGAAATTATTATTATTAGCTGACAGCAAATCGCAGTTTTCAACTGACTTTTTGCAGTTGTTGTGGTTGTTGTGGTTGCTGTTGGCCGGCTCATGTTGTAATAAATGGACAGGACCACAGTATTGGCCATGTACACTTTGTATGATATGCGAGGACTAACCTAAACAAAACCAAAAAAAATATTCACCTTTTCTGTGCGCTACATAAAGTGTGGGCATATCGAGAAAGAAAAGGAAAAGTATGGGTTCTTTAATTCTTTACTTGGAATGAAATGATTAAATTGTTTTTGGGAATTAAAAACTAACATTAAGTAGTTTGCTAATCGAGAAAAGATTTGTTGTTTTTTATAAAGGAATTCTTTGGAATAAAGATTTTAAGAGAATTTCTAGCAAATGAAATATAGAGAAAGTATTCTATAATCTTCTGATCCTTGATAATTGAATTAATTTTCTGGAAATATATTTCCAGACGAAATCCTAAATTAATTACCAAAAATCGAATTAATTATAATAAAATAAATAAAATAGGGGAAGAAAATCAAAGAATCCAGAGACAAAAAGTGAAGTAAAAGTGGTATAAAAATGCGCTATTTGATCAAGTTTTTACAATTTTAGCAAGAGAAGTTAAAGCTCAAATAAAAACAATTTAAGAAACGTTTCAAAGGAAACATACTGAGTGTATGTTTACCTTAAAGGGTATTCACTTAATCACCCAAGTCCAAGACCATTCGGGGTAATCCACACTGCAGCACTCACTGCCATCAATTTTTGTTTTGCTCGTCTCTCCACAGAGTATATCTGAGACTTTGGGGCCGGCTTCTAAAGGTGAGAAACTGGCCATATTGCCTGGCGGGCGTAAGGCTGCACCCTCCCCAACTGACACACACCCAGGCAGGCAGGCAAAAAAACACACACAGCCAGCCAGCCAGCCAGGCAGACCACAGAGCCGGCACAATTATATGCCATTTTATGAAAATATTTTCAATAAAAATAATCATTTCCAAATGAAATTTATGCACAACTAAGCAGGTGTTTAGTGACGGAGTCAAACAGCTGGGCAAATGCTTTTCAGGTAAAGGTGAAATGCATGGGGCCGCCATCGACATGGACTCCCCCTGGAGCAGCAGCCGAGCTCTTTGGCGCAGAGAGAGAGAGAGAGAGACCCAAGCCAAGTGAAAATTCGTTACAGTTGTCGATTCATCAAACAAGATAATTTGCTGTAGACAAAGCCAAGACAATGGGGGCCGCATAACAAGGTGAGCTGTGATAAGCAACACGTTGGTCCTATCAGAGTACGGATCTTCCAATTAACTGACCAATAAAGACCGGCTTGGGATCTTTTAATTTGTTCAATAGTGCAGACTCACGCCCCCCGCCACCGCCCCCGATCGACCGAGTTGTGGTAACAAGTACTCCTATTGGCATTGCCTAGCTGCATGCAACACACACAATAGACACCTTTTTGTAAGCAACAACGGGGGGCTAATCAACTTCAAACGGCGTACAATTGTTACCGAATATCAGTTTTTGACAGGCGGCTTGTTTTTTTCTGGGATGGGAATGGCAAAAACACTGGACGGGAAATGGAAGTGAAGATTACCGAGAACCCAAGTTTGATTGAATGCAAAATGATTGAATCTTATTGAACGAATGTTTCTGGTGCACCAGGCATCGGGGCACTTAACATCCATCAAAACACTAAACGAGGATTATTTAGAACGGCAGAAACAGCAAGAGAAACAGCAGCAACAGCAACAAGTTGCATGCAACAACTGTCGGTTGACATATGAGCAACAGCAGCAGCAGCCGCAGCAGCAGGCTGAAGAAGCAGCTAAAAGAAGAAAGGAACTTTTGCCGCCACACCAAGTACCTCCAAGCCCAAGGAGCGGCTACTACACAGAACTTTCGGACCTAACAAGCAGCCAGCTAGCCAGCCAGCCAGAGAGAGAGAGGGAGAGAGCCGGCCCAGAATTATGTAACAACTGCAGCAAATGCAGTTGCAGTTGCAGTTGCACCGGCACTGGTACTGGCACTGGCACTGGCCGCAAATTTGCAAGTCAAGTCACTGGAGATGTCACTCCGCGGATAGACACTCCGGACAGCTTGAGCAAAGCGCTGCCGCCGCCGCCGTTGTGCGGCCCGTTCCACAATGGCAACCGTTGCCGTTGGACTTAATCTTAGCATGATTGTGCAATATTTGTGGAGTGCGGTACTGTGTCCGTTGTCCTGGCAAGGTTGTTATGGACGCACTGCTGTTTGTTTGTGCCTGTAAACATGTGTGCAGACAGTCGAGAAAACCCGCTAACCCATCCACCAACCGCTTATCCATCGCACCCTTGAGTCTTGAGGAGCCTGCCTGGAGGATGATCTCACGCCGCGACAAATTGCTGCAGCAGCCCTGGGAGCAGCTACGCTATGCCCAGCACCGCGAGAAGGTGATGTCTGCCCGCCCGGCCATCGATACGCATACGCCGCGCATCCACGAGCACGTCCAACGCAAGTGGAAGAAACAGCAGAACGAGCGAGAGCGTCAGCAGCAGATCGAGCGTGAAAATCTACGGCTGCTGCAGAAGCTGGGGGACATCATGAGAACGAAACGAATCAACAATCTCTGGCTGGAGCCGCGACCCAAGTGAGTACCATTTTAGATAGATATTTCCAGTAGCAGTATTAATGTGCTTCCTTACAGCTTCCTGAACCGCGAGAAGCAATTTTACACACGACCCTACTCCAGTCTGCCAGAGATTGTCACCATTTATGGCAATCAGCCGCAAGGTCCGCTGATCTACGGCACGCTGCCCAAGCCCACAGTGGTGGGCCGCTGTCCCACCTGCAGTGGCAATCCGGAACGTACCGAGGTGGCCATACCCGAGCAGCGTACGCCCTGGGCACCGCCTCGGAAGTCCTGGAACCGCAAGACCCAGCAGCCACTGCAGCAGCAACGTTGCTACCACTGCGGATCTTTCAAGAGCACCGAACGGAGGTTTTTCGAGGAGTACTCGAACTCGTACTCCTACTCCTTTGACGGGTGATGAAGCGACGAAACAATTAATAAAATGAAATGCACGTTTATTAATCAAGCCTTTGGTATATTGGGCGGCAGGGTGGCGAATGTGAGGAAGCCTGTGTGCCCGGGCAGCGTTTGGGGATTGCTTGACGTTAAGTACTTCTTCAGCTCCTTGGGCGTTTTACTCTCCTCAGCGCTGGGTGTGGTCTGTGCTGTCGTCTCATTAGTTTTGGGCAATTTGAGAAACTCCAAATCGATGACGGGCAGGGAACGGGTCTTGATGACGCTCTCCTGCTGCAGTACCTCCATGGAGCAGATCTCGTTGAAGCCCAGTTTGGTCAGTTCTTGGATGCAGCGCTGTGACTGCTCAATGCAGGGGGAGAATGAGCAAAAGCGGCCGCCTAAGAGTGAGAAGGGGAAATCAAAGGTTTATACGATGACTAAAACTGAGATTTGTATTGTATTGCAGAATTGTTCGTATTTGTTAAATATTTTAGCTTCTTAAGATCGTATATTTTTCCCTTCATTTTTTTCTTTTCTTTGGGTAGCTTTTTCTGCATTCGCCTGACGAACAATCGAAGTTCCAATTCCCCTAATGACAAACGTTGCCCAGCCAGCAGCCTGCCGTGGCCACATCAAGTGTCAAAAGCGGCCTCATTCAATGTCAGGCGCAATGAAATGGCAGCCTGACTGACTGACTGACCGCTTCACTGGGAGTCTTGATTGCCGACCAGGCCAGGCCGGGCATCGGCGGCTGCTAAAGGGCGCTGACAACTTGTTGTCAACGCGAGCGAGCGTTCTCTTCACTTACCAGACAACTTCAACGCCTTGAATGCATGCGGCACAGCCAAATCCGGTGCGGGCAGATCCAAGAATACCGCATCGGCGGCCCCGTCCAGTTCGCTGCTGAAACCCAAATTGCACACATCCCTGTGATAGACGGTTACGAATGCGGCGAGGCCGTGTCGCTTAAACTCATCGCGTGCCTGGTCGGCGCGAGCCTCATGGAAATCGAACGTATGCAGATGGCCGGTGGGCTTGAGGGCGCGCAGGAAGTAGTGGGACAGAGAGCCGGAACCTGTTCCAGATTCGATGACAACGGCACCGGGTCGCACCTCCAGCTGGTGCAGAATCATACTTATATCCGGCGTGTAGATGATCTGAGTGCGATGTGGCAAAGTTTGTGTCCATAGCTCAGGTGTGGGCTGGAGCACATTGGCCCAGCCCTTGGAGAGCTCCACGCGGCTGCCGTACTCGACGCCAATGATGCCTGAAATCGAGAGTTCATCAGCAACAAGTTAACCGGAGCACTGCAAACCAAATTTCAACTGACTTTCCACCTTGAGAGAGCCATAGTTCGTCTGGAAGATGTGTTGTATGGTTTCGCCCTTTTTGTTCACTATTGTGGGCACCGCCTCAATGGCATGCATCGAATTGACACTTAAGTATAGGATCACAATGTCCCCCTGCTCGATGTGGGTCTTGGGTTTGAGGAAACTCATCTTATCGTTAAAATCCGTACAATTCACGTTTTTATTTACAAAATGTGCGCGTGTTTAACTTAGTGGTGGTCGATGTGCAGTAATCGATATATCTCGAAGTATCACTGCGGATAGTGCTGTAAGGTATATTTATTTGGGACTCCTAAATTTTTAAAAAATGTCATCTCTAACCGGTTGACAACAGTGAGTCTGATTCCATTACATTAACTTGTAAACCATGTTTTAGTCAAAATACAACACATGCAAGTACTTAAGAGTAGTTTATCTTGAACCAAATTGATTAATCAATCATATAAAATAATGTGGGCAGGGCTTGGGGTCCTGCCTAGCTAGCAATATCAAATCTAATATCAAACTCGAGGAATATGACTGCTATAGACAGAGAACAATTAACCCATTGTTGGCCAGTGGGTATTTAATACTCTCTACGAAAATTATGAATCTTGAAGAATTTTAGCGCAGTTCAGGTGAATGATGTCGTAAGGTTTTTGCAAGTAATGAAGAAGGTTGTGATGGGGCTACAAGAATAGTTTGCAAACAGTACCTTTTTCCGCAGTTTAACTAAAGTTGTTCACCTAATTAAATAAAGGGGGCCTAGGTGGGTTAATATTTCTGAGGGTCGGACGGTATTTTTTTTCGACAACTACGCGGTCACACCTCTATTTCCCTCTCTTTTGGTTTTTTTACAAAGTACGTATGCTCGATTTCCGTATAATCCGCCGACATCCTGCGATTGAACATCGAAATATGGCCAATTGTGATAGGAGATGATGGACAAACATGCCAACTATGGTTTCACAGTTTACTTATGAGCAATTGCATTGTTTTTCCCCTCCATTTTATGACATTTTCTTGGCCCGTTTTTCGCTGTGAATTTGTTTGCGATAATGACTTTGTTTGGGTGGCAGCCGCAAAATGGTGCAGCGATTGACTTTGAGGAGGCGTCTGTCCTACAACACCCGCTCCAACAAGAGGCGCATGTAAGTAGATAATAAAGCACAATAATTCTTGCTGAATTCTGATCAATCATTTGTTTACAGTGTGCGCACTCCCGGCGGCCGTCTGGTGTACCAGTATGTGAAGAAGAACAAGACCGTCCCACGCTGCGGCCAGTGCAAGGAGAAGCTTAAGGGCATCACCCCATCCCGCCCAAGCGAGCGCCCACGCATGTCCAAGCGCCTCAAGACCGTGGCCCGCACTTACGGCGGTGTCCTGTGCCATGGCTGCCTGCGCGAGCGCATTGTCCGCGCTTTCCTCATTGAGGAGCAGAAGATTGTCAAGGCCCTGAAGAGTCAGCGCGAGGCACTCGTGAAGCCAGTCAAGAAGGTGGAGGTCAAGAAGCCCACAAAGGCTGGCGCTACCAAGAAGCCCGCTGGCAAGACCGCCGGAAAATCTGGCGTGAAGGCCGCTGGCAAGAAACCCGCACCCAAAGGCGTCGTCAAGTCCAAGAAGTAAATTGATACTTAGGGATCTTGGTGGAAACATTTGTTTTGGACGTGGAAGCAACTTGTAATAAAGAAAATACAAACTGGAAGTTTTTATTTGAATTTTAATTGGCTATTTTTATACACGACTTCTGTTTACTGTAGAGTGGGTGAACAGCTGATCGGGAGGTAAACAAGTTCCCGGTGCTGCTACTTCGCTACTTCTTGATTATTTGCCATTCGCATTTTACGCTATCATTCGAGATAAACTTTTCAATTAATAATTTTATAATGCCACCAGTTGCTATTAAGCCATGTGAATCGTAAGCTATTTTATGTTTAAACATGAAGCATTCATTTTAGATAATGTCTTCTAAAACAGAACCCTAAGATTGCCGTTTGAGACGCCACGCTTAGCCGAAATCGCCTATCGTGTCTTGAGTGTTGACAAGGAGCCTCGCCGAAATTTTGTCCAGAAAACGCTGAGCTTGGAAAGGGACGTTGTGGTGGTGCATTTCTGTGCGGACCAAGTGAAAAATCTACGCACGGCCATTAGTTCGTTCTTCGAGGCGCTACTGCTCTGCCAGGACACCATCAAGCAGTTTGGGGATCCAACAGCAGCGGAACCAGAGGCGCCACAGCAAGACAATGCCGGAGCACAGTCCAGCTCCGACTCCGCATAGAGCCATCTATGGCTTTGCGTTCTATATGCTGTTTACGGTTCTGTTTATTGTATACGTGGCTTGGGCGCTCCTGCCGTTTGAGTTTGGTCTGCAACCTTACTTGCCAGACAAATATTTTGCAGTTTTTGTGCCATTTCTGGTGCTGATGTTTGCCTGGTTTTTCGCTTTCCTTATCTATCCGGCCATTAATATGTCGCTGACTGTCAATGTTGATTCGATTCATTCCGTGGTGGACCCCAAACTAGCTCTACCCAAGGGCACAGCATTTACATCCTGGTCACAGCTCAAGAATTCCAAAGATTCCCCAACAAAGCAAAAGAAGCCGACACCAATCAACTGCAATATGTGCAAGACATCGCACAAGCCCATAACGCGAGCACCCATAGCCCCACTAAGATTCCTTGACCTACAAGAAGTGAATACAGCATATTACAACTAAAAAAACTAACAAATTACTTTTATTCCGTTCAAGAAATTCATTTTCTTCGGACCGTTGTCCAGCCATCTTCGGGCTCAACGAATTCCCCAGCCTTCTGCTTGCGTGTCTGAGAGCGAGTGACGCGGCCGCTGCCGCTAGGAGCCTCATCCTCCTCGCTCTCATCCATTTCATCATCATCGCCGTCTTCGTCCATGTCTTCGTCGTCGTCCGAAGACGAGTCACCGTCTACCGGTGTGTACGTTACTTTGACATCGGGACGCAGCCACTCTTTGCCGGGTGGCAGTTTGCTGAGCTCTGTTTCAATCTCTGGATATTGGTTCTGCTGGGCCATCTGCTTGTAACGCAGCAGATTCCGACAAATTTCTGGTATGGAATTATCGTCGCACAGCGTGTTGAATTCCTGGTCCATGAGCTCTTCGAGCACCTCCTGGAGCTCGCCCTGCGTGATGTTTTCGTTGCCTACACAGTATTGATATGTGTAGTCCATGATTTGGATGGCCACCTAGCAGCGAATTTATTTTAGGTTAGAAAACGGCTAGAAATTAATGTAGAAGTGGGCTCACCTGCTGGCCATTGCGTCCGCCCATGCCGTGCTCCACGGCGAGCCTCAAGTTCTGCCAATTGTTGAAGATCTTCTCAACAATTAGTCGAAAATTCTTTTGGAATTCCGTTTGTTGTGTGGCTGCCATCGCAAAGCTGAAGAAACTGAAGGGAAATCTGCAATATTACCGCACCGAAGAGCGTTCCAAAATGTCTTTGCTCAAACAAAATCGTCGATCTCTCGACTAATAACCAAAACAAAACACGGAAAAACCCTTAAAAAATAAACACACGTGAAATATGGAAGAACAGTGTGACCGCTCGCAGAATTATGCCATTCGCAGGAAACGTTATACATTTGCTCCTTTTGCGCCAAAAGTTGGGAAATAAGTAAACAGAAAAAAAGCCGGAAAGTCATGTCGGATGACGAGATTACAGCCGATCTTCAAGCGGAGAATGATGTTGACGCTGCGGCTGCCTTGGCCAATGATGACGAGGAAGATGATGACGATGTAGAGCAAATAACGGCACAAAAGGTTAGCGTTTCTTAAGACATCCTAAAATTAGTGATCCATTTCTGCGGAATCAACAGGTGCTCGAGATTCTGGAGACTGCTTGGATCAATGAAATGTGTGCCCCCGAAATACTGCCCAACCAGACCGACATGCTGGAGCTGATGGTCTCCCAGGTGTCTCATATGGAGGAGCAGATGAGGGACTTGGACAAGAACGACTTCCGAGCTGTGGTGCACAGTATGGAGCTGGAACGTGTACGCTACATCATGGCCAGCTACTTGAGATGCCGCCTGCAGAAAATCGAGACCTTCACCCAGCACATACTTAACCAGGAGGACGCTCGAGAGCCGGACGACAAACGCCTGTCGCCGGAGGAGACGAAATTTGCCAAGGAATTCGCAGGACATGTAGATGAGTACTTCCACAAGGTGGCCACCCAGTACATGCCCAACCAGCAGCGTGGCGAGCTCGACCAAAGGATCGTTGTCCCCAACCTCATGAGTCATGTCTTTCTCAAGGCAAATGTGGCAGGTGAATATTTAGCTTCAATCTTTGAGAGGGAATTGCCAATTGAATGCATGATCTTCTTTACGTTTTAGTGCCGGCTGTGATTGTGGGCGTCGACGATGAGGAGGTGGACATGGCGCCCGGCTCCCAACATATTATTCCATATCAACTAGTGGCTGACTTGCTGCAGAACAACCAAGCGCAGCTTATTTAACAGAAAACAGCAAATGTAAAATAGATTAAAAAACAGATCAATTTGTAGACAACAAAAGTATATAAGATTTCATGCGATATTTTGCAGTAAATTAATTAATAACTATAGTACATGCAAAAGGTTGTTGCCATTCGAATTCCGACGTGGGTGCAGCCAGGGCTGGCAAACTCGTGAGCTAATAACAGCTGACTGGAACTCTCCATTGGAAAATGGTGGTTGGTGGTGTCTCAAACGTGCCTATATACACATACCACGCAGCCAATTAGCTTCATTTGTCAATGTGGCGGGCTTTTGCGCGAGTACCGAGAGCATTAGAGTGTGGGTTAGGAGTCGGACAACAACAACTAACGCTGACGCAGCATTTTCCTCATTCCAAAGCGAGAAATTTCTGCAGAACCTCTTACCTCAGCAAACACATCCTCCAACCCATCATCATGACCAGTAGTGTGAAGCCAAAGGTTGTGTTTGTTCTAGGTGGCCCTGGTGCGGGCAAGGGCACGCAATGCTCCAAAATCGTGAATCGTTTCCTCTTCACGCACTTGTCCGCCGGAGACCTACTGAGGGAGGAGCGGTCGCGAGAGGGTTCAGAGTTTGGCTCGCTGATTGAGGATTACATACGTAACGGGAAAATCGTGCCCGTTGAGATCACGTGTTCGCTGCTGGAAAACGCAATGAAGAACTCGGGAAAATCGCTCTTCCTCATTGACGGGTTTCCCCGGAACCAGGACAATCTGGACGGTTGGAACCGTCAGATGTCCGATAAAGTGGATGTGCAATTCGTTCTCTTCTTCGACTGCGACGAGGAGGTCTGTGTCAAACGCTGTTTGATAAGGGGTCAGGGCGGGTCCGGACGCTCCGACGACAATCTGGAGAGTCTCAAGAAGCGCATCCAGACGTATAACAACGATTCGATGCCCATCATCAAGTACTTTGACGACGCCGGCCAGGTGAAGAGGATCGATGCCAGCCCCGATGCCGACCAGGTCTTCAGGGAGGTGGAGCGCACCTTTATGACCAGCGGTTTCTAGATGGCGGAATAGCCTCTCCAAGTGAAATGTTATCTCTTCAGCTCTTTGTTTAATTATTTTGTGTGCGTGTAGCCTTGTCTTAGTTGTAAAAGTTTATCCTCCATTCCGAACTGTCAAATATACATATATACGCTTGTTATTGAAATTTAAGAACGAACGCTGTGCAATTACTCATCGATTTTCCGTCTGGAATCGGGTGGAAGAAGCGGGGCGCTGAACAAGCACTCTATTTAATAACATTTGCACTTTAAAAATACACGAAAGCGAGATGAAACAGGTAGGCATCACTTTTATAAAAATATGATTGGAAAACGGCAGGCAGATTCTCTCAGACTTAGTCCTTTCGTAGTTTGTCCAGACGCGCCTGAAGGTCGGCATCCGCATCGGACATGGGCGAGGTGCCACCGCTACCACCAGCTGCTCCACCGCCAGCACCTGACCCACCACCGCCGCCGCCGCCACCAGCCCCGCCTGCTCCCACACCACCGGCAGCCACAGCCGCAGGAGTCTTCTGCGCCCCAACACCGCCGGCTACCGACAGCGAGCCGGAGGCATTGGGCAGGTCTCCCAATTGCTCGCCCAACTGCAGGCCCAACTCGTCGAGCACTTGTGAAACGACGGCATCGGTCTCCTCCTCGTCACCCTCGTCCTCCATGGCATCGTCGATGGCGTCGTTAATCATCTCCTCCTTCATGTCCATCATTTCCGATTGCTTTTCAAAGTCCTGCAGGATCTTTTGTATTTGTGGGAGATTCAGCTGGCGGTTCATGTTCTGCATGGCCTTGGTGACACCTAAAAATAGGGAAAATTCCAAGATTACAGAAAGTGAATCAGCGAACGACGGCATTCCCATCCCATTCCCACCCACCTTTCATTGCCTGGGCCATTGTGTTCTGGGACTTGAGCGTCTGAATTTTGAGGGAAACCGCTTGAATGTTTGCCTTCATGAGCATGAATTTCTTCGCATAGCGCCGCGTGCGCACCAGATCCTTGGCCATGATCTTCACTGCATCCATTTGGCCCTCCTTGGCCATTTTCTTGATGTCGGCGATGATTTTCTTCTCTTGCTGTTCCATTTTCATCCGCTCGCGATCCAGGTCCCGCATCGCCTTGTTCAGGGCGCGCTGGTTCTTGCGCAGCATCTCATCTGGGCTAATCTTTTTGCCGAAGAGCCAGTCCATTTTTGCTCAATGTTTCAACTACAAGTTCTAATTACGATTGATATGAAGACGGAATGACGGAATTTCAAAGATTACTCATCAAGAAGCACAACAAACAATGAGTACAAGGTGTCGCGTATTATAAGGTTGTTACTCGCTGTGTAAGCGCAACCGGGCGAATGCAACTATCAAACAGAAGAAGGTGACATCACAAATCCATGATATTCTGCGTTTCGTTGTGAATGGCTCCTGCTGCTCCAAACATGAAGGAATTCGACGATTTCAACTTTAGTGTGGATAAATGTAGGATAACTCTACTAATTTCTATTAGACTTACCATCTAAACGTTTATACACAATGCAGACACCAAAGAGCTGACCCGGGAGTGTGTGGGCGGCAGCGATTTGCAGCAGCGAAAAAAGGAAATCGAGGCCTACAATGAAACGACGGCGGCCACTCTCAAGCAAACATGCAAAAAGAACTACATGGAGTTTATCCAAACGGCCAAAGAGATATCGCGTAAGTTGTACGAAAGCATCCGCCCCCTAAAAAGTGAATGTCATGATCATCCCCTAGATCTCGAGTCGGAAATGTATCAGCTGTCACATATCCTCATCGAGCAACGCAACATCTTGGCCACCATGACCGATGGCAAGACCAACTCTCGCCTGAAGGCCGACAGCGTGGAGGCGGAGAGCAGTGCCGCCGCCGATGATGTGCAGAACAGCCATGCCACACGCGCGGTAAAGGAAATGGTTCAGGGTTTCAATGGCAATCTGGAGGGCAAGACGTTCCTCAATGAGGGCGCTTTAATCGAATTGGATGCAAACGATTACCGACCCATTCAGCGGGTGTTCTTTTTTCTGTTCAACGATGTGCTCATCGTGTGCAAAGTGAAGCATGACAAGTAGGAGTGTTATTTGGTATATAAACAAGCACAGGATTTACACAGCCTCTTCCTTTCAGGCGTTTGGACTTCCTCACCGAATACGATCCCAAGAAAATAGGTGTGATCAATATCAAGGATTTGGATGGGGTGAAAAATGCCATTAATATAATAACGCCTGATGGCTCCAAGATATATCAAAGTATTACCGCAGCGGGCAAGACAGAATGGATTGAAAAGCTCGAAGAAGCCTTTCGCTTCGATCAGCAAAAGAAGTCGAAAAAGGGACAGGCTCCGCAGCCCCCCACGCGAGCCAAACAGCAGTCGTCCAAGTCATCCACTCCAGAGAAGGTTAGCAGCACTCCCCAACCCGAGACGCCAACAGAGCCCAAGTCCCTGGAGGACGAGACGCCCGAGTGGCTGAGCACGGCCAGCGAAGAGATTCAAACACTGGTGGCCCAGCGACACTTTGAGGAAGCCCAGGAGCTGATCAAGCGCACACAGGAGTCCGTAAGGGGCGAGAACCGGAAGAAAGTTCCACAAGCGGACAGCATTGAGAGCAAGGTGAAGCAGCAGGAGCTCAAGCTGATCAATGTCCTGCTCAAGGAGCTCTCGAATAGTCATAATCGCAATTTGCAAATCGCCCTGAGGTCTGCCAAGCGACCGCTAAAGATACTCGTGGAGATGGGCCGCTATCGGCAGGCGAGTGCCACCCTGCTGAAGGTCTGCGCCGTCAGTCTGAGGGTATCGCAGCGCGAGGCGCGTAGGAATAATGCCGATATATCGGAGCTATTCTTCTGTGATCTGACACAGGTGGCGTGTGATTATCTCACCGCCTTCGAGCAGCAACCGGCGTGTGTGAGTGGTAAGTGTGCACAATACTACCTCTTCAATCTGTCCCATAAACGTTCGTTTTCCTTTCCGCTTTCTCCCGCAGCTCTTGTCGTCTGGTGCAACGCCGAGCTGCAGTACTTTGCCAGCCAGCTTATCAAACACTATCTCGCAAAAGGCACCTCCCTGGAGACGGTGGCCAAGTGTGTGGAGCGTGTGCGTAAGCCCTCGACAAAGCTAACTGAGATTGGGCTGGACATAAGCTATCATCTGGAGGGGCTGCTGCGCACCACCCTCGAATCGCTGATCGAAGAGTCCAAGGAGCGTCTGCTGGACTCGGTAGGACGCACCGAGGAAAGCTGGCAGCCGTACAATCTGCAGACAAAATCAAATCTGAAGCGATTGCTGCTCGAACTGGATGTCCTGGGCATCGATGTGAGGGCCCAAGCCACTGGCGACACTTGGATGAACCTCACCCAGTCCACGGTGGTCTTTATACGACACTTTCTGCAGCTCACCGAGCACTGCGGCTGCCTGGCCAAGTGCGAGACGCTGCTGCAGAAGCTGGAACTGCTGCTGAAGGAGCTCTTCATCGCCCATCACTCACTGAAGCCGCCCAGCGACATGGCTGTGGATGTAAGTGGGAGACTATATTAATTTTTAGCTCTGCTCCGAAATTTACTCATTCCCCATTTTGCAGCCCAACTTTGTGATGAAGAATAAAATCTTTCTGGTTGACAATCTGCTGCCCATAGCCATAGACAAGTTCCGGCAGATATCGGGTCGCCAGTGCGAGATCTTGCGGGAGCTCCACACAAAAATGTCGCGACAGCACGGCGCTCCTTTGCCCCGTCAGCGCAGCGTCTACACCACAGACGTCTTCTAGAGATGATTCGAGGGACTTGTGTTTGCTTTACTTTTTCGATTACATATAAGTTTTTTTTATTTTTTGTCGTTTTGCTTCAATTATTTATAATATAATTATATACATATATAACCACAATAATAATATTTTGTAAAATTAAAAATCGAAGCGTGTGCTGCACTCTAAACTCGGGGCGCGAGGCGTGCCCACTCTCTATATATACTCGTACTCGTATTATATATATATTTTGTTTTGCTGTTTTTTCTTTTTCTTTTCCTTTTTGTATATATAAATCGATTCTTCACTCTAAACACTAAACAATTTAGATGTTTGTTTTTTTCCATCTAATTTCTATTTCGGTTGTGGCTCTCTTCTCTTCTCCTCGCCCTTTTTTTAGCTGCACAAAATATAGGATTTTACAGTTGGTTCTAGGGATTCGTTCAAGGGGTTTCCCGCACGCAAGTTAATTTTCCCCGTTTCCCCTGACAAAAGGTGACTGCCCCACTGCGTGAGCGTGTACGTGTGTGTGTGTGTGTGTGTCTGTGTATGAGTGTGTTTCAAAAGTTTTTGTTTTTTAAATTTATAATGTAAAAACTCTTAACTAAAATCCTTACTAGTTATATTCATTTATATTTATATATATATATATATATATATACTTTGTTTTTAATGCAAATGTGTGTGTCTGTATGTGTGTGTGTGTGTGTGAGGGGTAGGGAGTGGGCGGGGGGTTGGGGCAACTTAAAAATTACATTTGTTTTGTTTGCATTATATCGAGTTACTTGTCCTGTCCTGATCTGATTCTCAGCTAAATTACAAAAAACAAACATTCACATTTCAAAACAAAAACTAAAAGCACTCCACTTCGATACTTCCATTTCCTTCAGCTAGCATATCGTCGTATCATATAATCTCAACGCTTCCTGCTCCTGCACTTGCAATGACTAATCCATACAGACAACCGGCACACCATTCATTAAGTGGTTCGGTTCTCCTGTCTAGATGGAACGTGGGGGTTAGGTAACGCCGACTGTTTTTCTGTTTTCTAATTTATTATTACTTTCTTTTCATATATACTCGTTTCTGTTGCTCGCTCATCAATTTATTTGCTCTTGTTTTCTTCTTTGTTTTACTTGCAATTTGTGTGTGTTGTTGGTTTTTATTGGACTTAGGCTTAGGCTTAGTAGCTACAAGTACGCTTAAATTTTTATTTTTTTCCGTTCGTTTTTGTTTTTGTTTTGTTTTGTTTTGTATATATATTATAGAATTCTCTCTTTCTCATTTCTGCTTCGCTCGTGCTGCCTTTATTCTTCTTTTGTTGTTTTGGATGTTGTTGTTTTTGCTGCTGCGGATGCTTGATGCTGATGCATTTTGTTTTAAGTTTTCTTTTTCTATTTGCATGAGTTCGAACATTTTGTGTCTGTGTGTTGTGTGTGTGTGTGTGTGTTTTTTTTGTAATGTAATAAAAACTATACGCGCTTATTACAAAATGAAAAAACTGCTTGGTGTGGTGTGGTGTGGTGTTGTGTGGTGGTGGAGTAGGTTCGGATCTTCTAATAAATAACTTCGTAGACAGTAGCCTTCTTATCGCCCGAGCCCGTCACAATGTATTTGTCGTCAGTTGATATGTCGCAGCTAAGTACGGATGATGTTTCCTTCGACTGCAATAAATCAAATCAAATAAATTAGCATAAATATATAATACAAATCCCCAACCATTTTCTACTCACCTGGAATATGCTGGCACCGTATGGTGTTCGCCATGCGTTAAGCAGGTTGTCTTTGCCGGTTGAAACGAACCATTTGCCGCAGGCGGCAAATCGCAGCGACAGAACACAGCTCTCGTGCAGATGCAGTTGATACTTGTCCGGTTTCGATGCATGCAATACTTCCACGTGTGAGTTCTCCATGCCCACAGCCAGCCAGTCACCTGTACACCAAACGGAACAAGAGTTTAAGCCACGTATATCTTAGAGATAAATCCCAACCCACCTGTGGGACAGTAGCCAAGCGAGAATATTTGAGAACTGAAATCGTGCTGCTGCAGTTGGCGGCCCTCGCGCAGGTCCCACGAGCGCACCGTGTTGTCGAGACCGCCCGTCCATAATCGCGAGCCATCCGGACTGATGTCAATGCACGAGGCACCATCGGTGTGTCCCTGGAACTGGCGTACCAGTATCTCGTTGTGCAGATCCCACACGGCAATGTTGCCGTCGCTGCAGCACGAGAAGCACACCTTCGAGTCGGGGCTGATGGCCAGCGCATAGCAGGCGGGCGCCGCTGAGGTTAGTTCGGCCTTGATCCTGGGCGTTGGGCTGGCCAGGTCCCATATCGACAGATTCGATGCCTCGCCGCCCACAATCAGCGTCCGGCCATCGGGCAGTAGCTTCACCGAGCGTATATAATTGTCTCGCTGCAGGCAATCCAACTGACTGACGGGGTTCTTGTTGCCCGGCTGTGAGATGTCCCAGACCTTGACGCACCCCTTGCCGCCCGTGTAAACGTATTTTGTAGGATTTGAAATTGTCACGGCGCAGACGACTTCGCCGTGCGATAACGTATTGATCTGACGGGCGTGCCGAGGTATACCAACGCCTACCAGCGCATCTGGCGGGAATGGCACCGGCTGTAGGCTACCCTCACCATTCATATGGAAAGAGTATGCACTGTCACAAAAATAGAAAGAGATAAAATCAGGTCAGTAATTGGCATAAATTACAAGATAGTTAAACGTTTAAATTTCAATTTAAATGCTGTACAGACAGCCCCCAAATATAACCGAAAACAACAGAAAGTTACGGAGACCCAGGAAAGTGGTTTGGGATATATTTTCTTATCGAAATAATGGCACACATTATTCTTCTAATGGAATTGTACTAGTGCTGTTATCCTATCTCGTAGCCTTTGAATAATATGCAATAATGCAGTGATATTGAGGAACATTTTCTTGGAAACAGATAGACAGAGGAACATGAAAATGGGTTAAGTTAGGTTGACCCGAAGGGCCCTTTAGGGTCCACTTATCCGGTTGGATGTTTGAGACCTTCGAGAGTATGTTTATGAGGTTTCAAAGCTCTTGAGCGCCCTGTAGGCGGTTTCTACCAATGCATAGTAATGAATTTCGATGGCCCTGGGCTCACAGCATGTTTTGCAAGTGCTGCTTGCATGGATAAATATATAATAAACCTGGCCTATTGTTCATTCTTTTGAATGTTATAGCAATCACTACATGTGCTTTTTCTAGGAAGATTTAACCAATAACTTCAATTAAATTATGACCGAGATATGAATTAGTTTCGGTATCGAATCCGCAATCGAAGTATTATTAATATTCGTATTCAGATCTACTATGGGCTCGTTCTTCCTCCGAGTTATACACCTTTATCCAGTTCGATATATCATCTCTAGACCTGGAGCTTTCTTATTGAAACAATGCTTAGCATCAGGTCCTATGGGACCTTATCTCTATGAGAATTTAGTTACAAAGAATCTTCGTCCTGCAGTCATAGTATAGACTGCAAGCTTATATTCTATAGATTGGTCGTCACCAATGCAATAACTTTTTTCTGTTGTGTGTGTCGAAAACAAGACTAAAGCGTGTACGTTTCCTGGCTGGCTTCTTGCTTGTACAATACTCAAGAGATAGGGCTGTGCCAATCACTAGTTGAAATTCCTAAACGCATTACAAGGTTCCATTCTACCGATGTACCCCTCCTCTAATCAATTCCGTCTTTGAATCAGTCAGTTATCAGCTAGTTCCCTGCAAACTCCCCCAAAATTTTTTGGCGGTGGGCAACTTACGGCTTTCCACCCGTCAGGGCTGAGGGATGTGGAATGCCATTTGTTCGCACATGCGAATGCGGATCGTACGGCATTGGTGGCTGTCGTCCATAGGCTGGATCCGATGGTGGACGCTGGTAGGGATCTTGTGGTCTCTGATACGGTGCCCCCGGATATCCGGCTGGCGGTGGTCCCTGCGGCATCATTTGTTTAGGATTAACGCCACCCGGCGCTGGTGCGGCAGCGTTTGGTGTCGGTGTTCGTGCCTTGGCGCCCGGTGTGCCCGGCTTTTCCATCTAAATATACATAAATGATACATTTTGTTATAGTTTCCAGGCTAGATCATTAGATATCTCAGATCTCACATCTTTTGTCTTGAGGCTGGGTGTGGAACGTGACGAGCTGGAGCCAGAGCGCGAGGGCGGACGTTCCTGTTTGATGCCACTACTGCTGGGCTTCTCCAGACGTTCGCCGTTCAGGCTTTCACGATCGCGTACCTCCACATGCTCGCCATTGGGACGTGGAGAGTGGGATTCCTGGAAGGCATACGCAAAAAAAGTAGAGCATTAATCATGGAAAATATTTCATGAGCGAAGGGGGCGTGTTTTCTTTTTGGGTGTTTCTGGGGAGGGGGGGGGATTGTGGTTGCATTGAATCTCTGGGGCCGACACTCAACTCACCATTTCATTTGCAACATCTACGACTAAATCTTGATCGCTTTTCTCGCCTTCATCGTCCTGTAAATAATTTTGAAAAAAACACAAAAACAATATAAAATAAAAGTCGTACAAAATAACAACAATTCCAGCACCACAAAAAGAACAACAATAACAGCAGCAATCAAGTATATGTACATATAATAATTAAGCAAAAAACATTATTCTCTCGTTCCTTTTTTTGTTTTAGAAGTTATTGTTTTTCTTTTTTCTGGCTGCGCGTCTCTTATAAATTAGCAATATTTTTATAGGTGTTAGCAGTTTAAGAACAACAATGACTACAACAACAACAACAACAACAACAACAGCAACTACAAATGATAGGATAGACTACAGGTTTTTTGTTTTTGTTTGTTTTTTTTTTTTTGGTGAGTTGAGAGACAGCAGCAGCATCAGCAGCAGCTTTGTGCTGGTTTATGGTTTATGGATGGCAACACGGATACGATGAATGATGGTTCTTTTGTAGATGGAAAAGATTGAAGCTGATACTCACTTGCAGTTGTTTTTCATCTTTCCGACGCTTCGAGTCATTCTCAATGTCCAGCGGCGAGCGTGTACGATACTTCTCACGATCCGCTGGCGAAACTGAATTGCGCTGCAATCAAAAAATTCGAAAGAACTTGATATGTTTGCCTTTGCAGTCGATATTTATTTACTTACCAAACGCTCTTCGGCGCCTGCCGGTCCATCCAGCCCTGTGGGCTTTATGTCCGGCCTATGATGGTCTGGCGGCGCCTTGGGCAAACCCTGTGGCCCGTGCGGCAGTCCCATGGTGGCACCCAAGGCACCAAACGGATTCAGTGCACCCATCGGCTGTGGCGGTCCGCCTGGCACCTGCTGTGCGTGTATTTGCTGCTGCAGATTGGGATTGAAGGCAGAGTTTTAATTAGAATTTGGATAGAGCTAGAGGTTTGTGGCGTGCAACAGTAAAGCATTGGTGTGTGTGTGTGTGTGAGTTTCTGTGTGAACAACAACAACATCAATAAGAACAGCAACAACAACAACAACAATTTGAAGGCATTTTTGTAAGCATTATTTAAAGTAGAGAAGAAAAAAAAACAACAAATAAAATATGAATAAAAGTCACAGAACGGTGGCGGCAGTGGCGGGGGGGTTGGTTTTCTTTTAGCTATGTGTGTGGCAGCGGCGGTGGCGGTGGCAAGTGGCAGAGAGTCGAATGCGGGCGGCAGACAAACAAACAAACAAACAGAAAGTAAAACGAAACTCTTGGCAGCAAAAGAAAACTTACTAAAAGTTGTTGTATTCCATGTTGCTGCTGATGCTATGCAACGCGGCGGTTTTTTTGTTTTGTTTTTGTTTTTGTTGGGATTGGATTGGATTGTTGTTGGGTCAGCGCGAAATCATACGTTAAACAAAATTAAGGATGGAAGAAAAACAAAATCAAATGGAGAGCGCCAAAGAAGATTCAAATATCCCCAGCTACAGGCCATAAATCTCCCTTGGGATTAGCTCGAGATCCCCAGCTAAATACATATGTATGGCATGTTCCTTCTCTTTGTTGCTGCTGCTGCTCGGACCCCATTCGTACCCCAATACTTACCCCAATGATCAGATTGAGCTCCTGCATGGTGACCTGCTTCGCACGCTCCACCGCCTGCAGCACTTGTTGCTGATGATCGGCCTGTAGGAATGGAAGTAGCTGATTGATCAGTGTATTGAGGCGCTTGGCGATCTCCGTTTGTTTGTGCATCTCCACATTAAGGCCATAGGACATCTCATAATACTGTTTAACAGATGATATGATTGAAGGAGAGGTAAAAGGGGTAAAGACAAGTCGTTATTATTAGCTAAACGCTGCGATTTATGTGTGAGAAGTGGGACTTACCATAACATAATGGCGCTGCATCTCCGTCTTCTCGTTCGCCAGCTTCTCGCACTCCAATTTGATGCTGGAATTCGCAGAAAAAATAATCAACGGGTAAATTAGTTTAGGCGACGGAAGCGGCCGCTCGCTTGCTAGGCCCTGCCGCCGTTGCCTGCCAAAGGAAGCGGCAGCAAGCGGCGGTGGTGGCAGCGGCGGCGCAGGTTAATCCTATGACAGCAGCGCATATGGCGCGCCAAAACCGGTTTTCTTTGCTTTTTTTGCAAAACGCAGACGCAGCAGCATCCACAGCCGCACTAACACAGAGACAGTCGGCAGGCAGCATACAAGTGTGCCACAGCATTTGTACAGTGGAGGCTCCAAGAGAGTGGTTCTTGCCGTCGAAGGGTAGTCCTCTTCCGCAGGCATGGCATCCCCGCTGTACTGGCTGGGCACACCAGACACACGCAAGCCAGCTCCGTCTCTTGCATGGATCGCACACGCATATCCTAATTCCCTTGAAGCAGACGAGATCTCCCAAGGATACTACTACTTGCCTGTGGTATTGTGCCTGCAGAAAATTGAACTCCTCCTTGATGCGTTCCAATGTATCGGCAATGGTAAATTTGATTGGGCCCTGAGGTGGTGGTCCCTGAGGTGTGCCAAGTGCGGGGGGATAAACAGTCGGCGAGCGAGAGGGAGTGAGAAAAAGGAAGAAACACAATTAGCAATCGGTGGGGGGGAGGGGAGGCGAGGGCCGAGAGAGTGTGGACAACAATGTGGCTCGGGTCTCGGCTCTGCGGGGCTGTGTGGAGTGGATTGGTGGTACTTACCCCGGCCGCGGGGTGACGCACCGGTTGGGGATACATGTTGTTATTTATGGTTGTGGAGCAGCAATGATTGTGTGCCGGCTAAAACACTCCCAATAATGGTAAGATGAATAATTCCGGATTTCGACAGCGACAGCGTTGAACGTGCTATGGGAGCCAGCGCAAATAGTTCTTCTTGTTTCCCGGATGAGAGAGAAAGGGATGAGGAGTAGGAGTGAGTAGTCCTCGTCGTCTTCGTCTTCGCCCTCGTCCCCGGCACAGCGTTTCCTTCCGTCCTTCCGGTTAGCGGCGAGGCGAGCCCGAACGTGGAGCGTGAGGCAGGCAGGCAGCGTAGCAAATTTCTTTTGCAAGCGTTTTTATTGCTCTTGTTGTTATATTACTTTTCTTTTTTTTTTTTTGTATTTTTGATCTTTTTTTTCTCTCCCGTTTTTTCTTTTTTATTTTTCGTTCGGCTCCCAGCAGAAACGTTTCCGTACCACCCGGAACTTAATGGAACAACTCCATCGTTTCCATGCTATTCTTCATTTTTTTTGGTATCCTGGGAATGGAATTTTACAACAATTTTTTAGTTATGGTTTTTTATATTTGCACCATTTTTTTCGATACGTTCGCACACACGCACGCACACATAGAAGGCACACCACACACAAACAGGCACACACTCTCGCATAGCAATGGCCGAGCCAGCGAGACACACGCACACCAGCGCACAGCGAGAGACGACTTTTATGACGGGGGTACGAGTGTGAGTGTTTACCGCCGAAAAATCAAGCGCACAGTTGCATGTGGCCTGGGCAAAAACGAAATTGTTACGCAAAATCACAGTTCGACTTTGGCGGGGATCTGCTGGGATATTCCAGGCCACTTTGTTGGGCAATTTTATTATTATCCACCGCAATTGTTTCACTTTTTGTATTAAAACAGCAGCTCCGCACAAACAATATATGAACATATACAGACAGACTGCAATTAAACAGGGTTGCCATGCTGGCCAAATCACAGAATGGGCTAGTTTGCACTGTTAAGCGTTGGCTTTTATTTGGTTATGGAACATGTGGATCAGCTTAAGCCATTGATTGGCAGGTACATTCAAGAAGACCAATCTGCAATCGCGGTAAAATATACCAAAAACCAATTGTACGGAGGACCAGGCGGCAACACTACTCCCTGCGAGAAGATACGGGCACGTAGAAACTAGCGAGTGGCCAAATCACACACACGCGCACACATATACTGACACGAGAACAGGGCAAAAGAAAAATTATACCGTCCTATACAAAAAATAAACAAAAGCAATTAAAAAAACGAGATAATGGTAGTACCGATTTTATGCGCTGGATTTGCAAGTTTTACTGGACGCCTAATGCTAGCGTGGACACTGAAAACACTCTTGTACTCTCCGAATTGTTTAACGCAAAAATTTCAATCACTTTTTTGTAGTTTTTCGCCCGTACAAAATTGCTTGCTTGCTTCAGCCGACCGACCGACCGCGAAGTGTCTGACAGGCCAAGGAGTCGTGTATGTGTTGTGCAGCTTTGGCGGCGGCGCTCTCTCGCTCTCTCACACACACACACACACACACACACTCTCTCCGTCTGTCCGGCACAGAGTTCTACACGCGCACTCGCTGGCCGCGGCTTGTAAATGGCGTTCTCGTCTTTATGATTTTGCAACAAATTTGCATGGAGTTTTAACCTTTATTTCACTGTTTCTAGTTGCCGCTTCTGCAATTTATATTAGCAACAATTTTGAAGCATCTGCACTGCTTCTTACTGATATTATTTCCTATTTTTATTATCCGCGACACTAGACTTATAGCGCCAGGTAAACTTAGTTTTTGTATGGATTTTTTGAACGAAAAAACAAGGAAAAACCAACCCACGCATTGTTGTTATAATCGGATTTTAGCAACTCTTGATTTTATTTGTCATTTTGGCCAGTTCTTTTAAATTAATAATATGAACCAACACTGTCGTTTATCGAATGAAGTAACGAATTCAAGTTCTTATAACATATTCATCGTTTTTGATATTCCATCGAATATTACTAGCTATATAGAACATTTAGCCATGCCCATATAATTTTATACGATTAATGAATAAATTTTCTACAAGATTGGTTAGTTTTTATTTGTTGCTTTTATTGTATTTTGACTAAAACAAGGTTTAAACAAAATAGCTAAACAAAAAATCAGTTGCAATGTTGCTGGTAGTTAAAGACATGATGCGTGTATAGGCCTTTGTGCACCCTATTTTGTTAATTTTATATGTAGATCAAACGTAATTTATTAAGACCTTTTATCAAATTGATATGTTTTTGACTTATTCATGTGTAGTATTAGTATCTTGTATATATTTATCTCGATCCTGATACCTACGGAGTCTTGGAAGACAAACGTATTCGCAATTCTATATCATCCATTTCCCCCAGGGTATGTGTGCATGGAATTAGCAACATGTTTGTGTATGGAATGAGACTCATTGTTGCAATAGCGAAACTGCGGCGAATCGGGTATTGCCTATATTTCAAGCTATAGATGCCCACTTAGCTTTATTACCTTAATGTATTTTATTTTGACCAAAAAACGGTTTTCAAGTAAATGTTGCCGCAACTTTTGTGTATGGAATGCGCAACATTTGTGTATGGAATGAGACTCATTGTTGCTAAAGCGAACTGGGGCGAACTGCGGCGAATTCGAACTTTCTCATATTCTTTGTTCCGTTGAATAAAACTCTTTATATAGAACATTTAGCCATGCCCACTCAATTTTGTACGATTGATGAATCAATTCTATACATGAGTGGCCTATTCGAAATACTTGCATTTATTGGATTTTTATATAACATTGAAAATTAAATTAATAGATTGATGAAATTGACAAAAAATACCATGGGCGCGCGGCGAAAACCAGTATTTCTACAGTATGACCCTCAGAACAGCACCGAAATATACGGTCTCATTTGAAAAATATACCGAGTGGTGCGCGCCAAATCGAACTTTTTTGAATGTGAGCGACAACGATTTAAATATTGTCAACCGGGCCTTTATCTATGCCCACATAATTTTATACGATTAATGAACCAATTTTCTACTTAACTGGCCAGTTTTTAGTCCTTGGTTTTATTGTATTTTGACTAAACAAGGTTTCAGCAAAATAGTTCAACAAAAAACCCGTTGCAATGTCGCTGGAATTTGAAGACAACGCTTGTATAGACCTTTGTACACCCTTTTTCCTCAATTCTATAACATCCATTTCCCCCAGGGTATGTTAACAACATGTTTGTTTATGGAATGGGACTCATTGCTGCTAAAGCGAACTGCGGCGAATTCAAATTCGATTCAAAAAAACGACTAATTCATCATATTCTTTGTTCCGTCGACTATTACCAGCTAAATAGAACATTTAGCCATGCCCATTCAATTTTGTACGATTGATGAATCAATTCTTTACATGATTGGCTTATTCGAAATACTTGCATTTATTGGATTTCTATAAAACATTGAAAATTAAATTAATAGATTGATGAAATTGACAAAAATACCATTTAGCACTAAAAAACACCACATGGGAGCGCGGCGAAAACCAGTTTCTACAGTCAAAACAGCACCGAAATACAAAATATACCGAGTGGTGCGCGCCACAAAAGAAATTGTTTAAAAGTACATGCATGATAAGGAGTTAAATGTAATCTATTGGAGTAAATGATTCGCTTAAGTAAGATTTGAGAGCGAAAATTAAAAAACCTCCGTATGGAAGTTTCTATACCATTTGCTATTAAATAAACCTTTGAAAATTAAATTTTATAGATGAAATTGATTAAATGGTATATACCGGAATATACCGTATTTTTTTTCTCGAAATAAACCGATGAAAAAACTAATTTAGCCAACGTAACGCCCCAGGTGAACAACATAAGTTAAGCCGCGGAAAAAATACTGCTCCTTATAGATCCTTCCTCTCTCTTTCCTATGAACAAAAGCTCCGCGCTAAAATTCTTCAAGTGTCATAAATTTCTACAGTGGGTTAATAGTTCAGCGTCGGTATCAGGTATGAAATATTTACTATCGATAGTCGATATCGCCCATACTGCAGCGCATTTAACTCGATTTTTCGAAAGTTGCGCATTTTTAACGTATCGAGAAAAGAGATTTGGGCGGGTTGTTTGAATTCCTTACATGAGGCAATTAAAATCACTGCAGTGATTTAAAAATGCAGTATGTACAAGAACTGCGTCTGGCATCTTTATAACATATAGGTACATACAAACATACGTATTCTGATTCAGAGAATCAAAGTAGTCTGGTCTTTTAACTTCTATAACATACAAAGAAAGTAAAGCTTTAAACATTTGCAGTCAGCACAAATAATATACAAAGTATAGAATTATAATTTATAGCATAATATTTATGCAAAAACCGTTTTACGTAAGCTATGGATAGCAAATCAAAGGTAACCAATGATGGTCCGGAAGGCTCAGACGTACCCTGCAGCCAGAAATCGAAGAGCTTGCTGGTAGAAAAACTGGGTAAAAATCTACTAGGCGATAATGTACAAATAATTATCGGGGAAACGATTCTTCGTTGCAATCAAACGGTGCTGGTTGCCTATTGCGAATTTTTCGCGAAGACTCTCATGATAGGCGATTCAGTTAGGCTGTCAATGTCGATGGCACCCAGCACGTTCGAGTTGGCCTACACTTGGATGATTAACAAGAATCCCCTGTGCCCAAGCGATGAAATAGTCCCCTTGCTGGTCGCCGGGCTGATCCTGGGCTGCTCTCGACTTTCAAAAGGCATCCTAGAAGCCTTTAACGATCTGCATAGCTTCTCGGCGAAGGAAGCCTACTGGTGCTACCGCGAGGCCATGGAGATAAACGTTGCTGGCGTGGCCCAACTGTTGCTGCCGCGTGTTAGCCAATCTTTTCTGATTCTAGTAGCCTCTTCGGTGTTCCGGAAACTCGATGCGAAGCATGTGTACGAGTTGTTAAGCTCCAACCATCTGGCCGTGCAATCCGAGATCGAGGTACTTCCATTTCCATTTCACTAATCCTATTCGTATTCGGTCTCCTAATTGTATACCGCTGCTCCAGGTTTTCTATGCAGCCATCATTTGGCTCTACGATGACTACCCGAATCGGAAGAAACACATCAAGTATTTGCTCAGAGCGATTAGGTTCAATCTGTTGCCGTGTTACCTAGTGCTCCACTGGGGGGAGAATCTGGAAGAGCTTAACTATGAGCTGGCACAAGAGGTGCGTGTTTGCCTAACAAAGACCATGCTATTCCAAATCGAAGTTTACGCGGGGGCCGATCGCGATTTGCCCCTGCCACGCATTTGGATAACAGATCCCATATGTCCGTACCACAAGGACATGGAACTGGATGAATACATTCGCATAAGTCTGAAAGATTTCCTCTGTTACCTCAAATTACTTCAGACTTCGGAATCAACATTTCTAAGCCGCATACAGATATTACCGCCTAAGAAGTCGCCTGTGAAGAAAATACTTTTCAAAAAGCCCTCGAAGTAATGGAATCATTTAATATGTAATACTCCTTACGAACCTGTAATTTTCCCACCACTTAGAAAGTAACCACCAGATCATGTACTGCACCCGTTTTTGGAATTTTGAAATTACTGCGCTGGAAGCATGCCCGATCCTAGGAAACGTCACACCTCCCAAAATGAATCAACTCTCAATTATCTGGAATGCCTGCTAATAACCAACCTCATCTTTTTATCTCATCGGACGTTATTTTCTTGTTATATTCATCAGTGGAACACTTTATCTCCTGGACTAAATCTCCGAAATCAGTCATGCTCAGGTGTGTTCTCTGAGGTCATGCTGTCCCAGTTGGTCCCGAACACATTCCAGAAACTTATACACAGTCCTAACCAGCCACTAATCCGCAGCCCTAGATGGGCCGATCTGTGCAATTACTTTCTATCAGATATACTGTAACACAGGTGTCCACATCGGAATCAAGGATCCAGCGGCGACGGTAAGATGTTCCTGGATTTCAAAGCTATCCTTGTATCAATTGATGAACCTATAGTTTGTTCGCATTGGCACTTATAGATACCCGTCGTCAGCGATGCCTATAGCCACAAGCTCACACAAACTTCAAAACAGAACGATAAGCGTCCTATCAATGACATCATAGTCCTGCATGAGAGGGCGAATGTTTTCTTTTTAAGATGCTTTAAAAAAATGTTAAGCATATGTGAAACCTTAAGATAATACATTTACCTAAACCTTTTCATATGTGAGAGAGGAAAATTCTGAAATATATTTCATTCTTTCAAACAATTACACTGTCGACAAAATGAAAATGAAAATGTGGCTTGCAAAAGATAAGAATTAGGTTTTTTTAAATTAAATCAACCCTTCCTTTTAATATGACCAGATGAAAATTGTGAGTTCCATTTTAAAGTTTGTCATTTTCTGGCCAAATCATGCTTAGGATTTGTTCTAGTGCCGTTTTAGGAAATAGAAAAAAGTGTAATTCAAATTTTGATGATCAAATGAAGGTTTTGATCAACTAAGTACAACTTTTGGTGATGAAGCACCATGGATTGCCTTTGTGAAAAACTGGTAAAACGTATTCAGTAGTATTCGTCATTCGCTGCAGAGCGAATCTCCTGAGGGTCGTCCGAAAACGGATAATGGATGCTGTGAGGGATGTGACATATCATGAGATAGAGGCATCTTTGGGCATTAAAGGGACCAAGATTTGGTAATAGGATTTCTAATTTGACCAATTTTCTTTCTATGGGTGTGAAGAAATGTTCCAATTGGTCAAATAAAAAGCTGAAAAGTACTAAATGCCACAAAACCCAAAACCCACAAAAATAATATGTTTTGATTTGTTTTTCTTTTTCAATTATTTTTATATTTGTTTCAATTGTTTGCTAATTGTTTTGTATTTGTTTGTTTTCTTATTTTGTTGCAATCACAATCGGTTATCACAGATGCGTTTCCATTCTCTCTCTCTCTTTGTCTCTTCCTTCCATCCGGCTCGCCTGCCACTTTACCAGGGGCGCCACAATTTCTCGGACTCCTCTGGCATGGGCGACGGGGCTGGACTCTCGCAATCGCTGTGATAACCAGATGAGGCGGGGCTGAGGGGTGCTGCACTGGATGATGAGGAGCAGTCCATTTCGCTCTCACTCTCGACCACCATTGTTGTCTGGGCCTCGTGGAACTGCTGCAGGTTCTTGTAGATGCGTCCCAGATGCGTCATCACCGATTTGCCGAGATCAACGCTCATGCCAGGTGTGGAGGCCATGACACGTGACACCTCATTGACGGCATTCATGTAGCCATTACGGAAGCTATCCAGAGGCAGGGCGGACTGGGCGGGCGTTGCTGTAGAGGCGGATGTTTTGTTTGACTTCTGCTGGCGCATGAAGATCACAGCTGATTCGAGCATTTCCGCCTTGTCCATGCGCAGGATGCCGTCATCGCCGCGCAGCTCGGCGACAAGTGTTTTCAGGGTGTCCAGGCACTTGTTGATGCGGGCCCGACGCTGGCGTTCCAGCAGTGGCTTCTTCACCTTCTGGTAGATCTGTGTCTTGGTGGTGTATTCCATTTTGACGAGTGTTTGTAGTGTCGTAAACGTGTAGTAAACGAAGTGGTTCTCGTTTTCTCTTGCGATGTTGCCTTGTAGATGGCTGAATCGTGAATGATGTTGTTCCCTCGGCAGCGATGCGCTTTTATACCCTGGTGCCGGTGCCGGTGCCGGTGCCAGTGCCCACGAAGAGAATCCACCCTCGGCACGCATGAGCGCCTCGTCTCGCTCGCACACACGCAGGATCATGGGGCCCCTGCACCGCTCTGCACTGCTCTGGCGCACAGGCGGCAGCGGTGGCGGCGGCGGAGTTGGAACAGCTGCAACATGCTCCGAGGACAATCGCACACACAATCCTTGTGGCTCGTGGCGTGGGAACCGAGCTGAAAGTAAGTTTCTCACACAATTTTTTCTCGTTTGTTTTCCCTTTTGGCCACATGCTTCGCTTCTCTCGTTTTTTTTTTTTTTTTTTAAGGATCAGGGCACATTTTTGCAGCTGTCGCTGTTTTTGGCTTGCTCTTGTTGTTGTTGCTGCTGCTCCTGCTGCCCCTGCCCCTGCCCCTGACTCTCCGTTCGCATTGCTCTTTAGGCCGGTGTTATTATCCTTAATGCATACTTCAGTGCCTCATCCTGTCGGTTGTCGGTTGTCGGCTGCTGTGTCGTTCGGCGATCTCGGATCCGAGAGTCGGAGTCTGAAGTCGCAGCTGAGGCTGGAGTTGGGGGCATCTCTGGCTGTGCGTGGGCCGCTCTCTCATTGTTATCCTGCCATGGCATCTCCGCTCTGTTCTGCTTATTGTTTCATCAATGCATGCAGATGATGATGGCATAATGCCCTGGCTACGATCTCCGCTTTCCGTTCCCACACTGCCCGACAGCAAGACAGCCCGACAGCCCGACCGCTGCTCGCCCGATGAGTGTTTATTGGACACAATTAGGGATGTGGCAGATTGGCTGCATGTCGGGTCGTGTCGGGTCGTGCTGGTCGCTGGGCGAGTGTTGGGAGTTTTAGCAGGGAGGGGGCCAAACGGGCGCTGGAAGTGTGCCTGCCGCCTGAGGTGAGACTTCGAGCTGAGGTGAGGCATGCGCTGCCATATGTACCTCCCCTTCTGATCCCTACCCTCAACCCCCCTAATTGGTATGTAATAAGTGGATTTAATGATCGATAGATGTGGCACGGGGATGTGTGAGATAGGTAAAGGAGAGGCAAGGAGGTTGTTGATCTTTGACAGCATTCGACTTTAATAGTTGAAAGAGCGAGAGGGTGGTGGGAGTTCATTTGGGTTAAATTTTATGTGGTAGAGACACATATGCTAGAGCGATATTTGGTGGTATTTGTTACATGACCTTGAGGGTCAGTGAACAATTATTATGTTGGTAAATCTTTGTATCGTCCGGTAGCGAATAACAAGAGGGATACTTGTGGGTTGACGCCGACAATACAATGAAGTTTGGTACTTAGACTGTTGACGACCACACCATATATTCGTTTTAGCACGAGCCAATATACACTCCCCGACTCTTGAATAAGACACACTAAAAATACGAATAAAACCACTAATATTTACAGCACAATAAAAATCAATATTCGTTAAAAGAGAGTAAGGAAAAAATTCAATTTAATGAACTCGAATTTCCGTTCTTCAAATGTGCGACACTCACAATGAAAATTATTTTTTATTGGCAGGCGGACATAGGAAAAATTCTCCAAAATATATCGGAGTGTCCTAATTATAACAGAACTAAAACCGAACATAAACGGATATTTCTGAGATCGCTATGCGATCTATTCTGCAAGCCGCATAAAACACACACGATTATAAAATCTGAAATTGCTAAAATAATAAAACGTGTTTTATGTCTGATTTTCTATTAGGATTAATTTTAAAATTCATACATGAACGATTTAAAATATAAGTTTTATGTTTTGGAAATATTGTTGAAATATTTCATAAAATTATATGTACATAAATCTGTATTTTTAATTTAAACTTTAGCTCTATATTATTATTATTATATATCTTTACTTGTACCTTATATCCGTACCTTTAGCATTTAAATTTATCACATATTAATTTTCAATATTCCTTGGGCATAACGATACCGAAATTAATTTATTGGAATATCAAATATATATTTGGAAAATGTAAAGTGACCTCCAGTTGACATCCACTTCAAATCGATACTGTTTTCTCGGTGAAAATTGGAAATTAATATGAGCCAAAAGCCACAAAATCAGGTAGGAGCATTCTGCTGAAGTACCCTGTAAATTGGATTATTATTTCTTTAATTTGTTTTATTAACATCAACATAATCAAAAGGGTCCCTAAAATGTTCATTCAATGATTTAACTTTTTGTATACTCCTAATAAAACCCTCCCCATTTGTTAATTTATTTTTACCACATTATATGCAATATTCTTATCTTTTTAAGACATTCATTCTAAAGTACATGTTTATTCCGTAATTGCTTATATCATTTCCTTCTGGCGGCACGTGTCGAGCGTCGTGCCGCATTTTTTTCTCAGTCGGTTGGGTGGTAGGCGGTCTTTTCTTCCGCCTGTAATCCGCTCATAGCCTGATTTAGCTTGGCGTACTCTGTGCCAGATAATATTCTATAGATAGAATTGGTAGTATGATTATGAGATTACTATGTTGAGACTTATGGCTTATTTTATATAATCTGTACTCATTATTAACTTTTTCTTTATAAGGTATTCAGAGACTTTTATAGTAAAACTTCTCACATCCGTTATTGATGTTTTCTATCAATGCCGAAACCTCTACTTCCATTAGCCTTAAGGTAGACTTTGCATTTTTCCTGGGTCTTTCCTACCAGAGAAAATACCCTATTAAATATGTCCGCCCTGCAATTTCTTATTGGATGAAGCTGTAAAAGAAATATAGCCCAAATAAAGAGATGTTCAAGAATTTTCAGTTCATATTTTGTTTGTATTTGTTTTCGTGTTTGTATCAATTTTTCGCATTGATGAGATCTCTTATGTAGTAAACAAATTAAATGTTTATGTGGTATGGTAAAAAACAATCTTCTGATCAAATGATCTTGACAAAAGTAAATAAAGCATGTCCTATCACAGACTTAACTTAAAATCCTTAAAACGTGGAAATATTTTTAACACTTATCGAGGATGATTAATGAGGATCATTGTAAAGCATTTGTAAAGCTGCAGTTCCATTGCGCGATTGCCCGATGAGGGTGTTGGCCAATCCAATCGATAGATTCACCAGGGGCGCCAAACCTGACCAGTGCTGATCTGGAGCAGATTCTGGGCCGCTTGAATGGAGGAGACGCTGCAATCGCTGTCGCTGCAGTAGCCGCTGGACACGGGACTGCAGGCCTCCCGGCTGTTGGAGCTGTTGTTGCTGGTGCTGCTGCTGCTGCTGCCGCCGCTGCCGCAGATGATGGAGAGCGGGGCATTCATTGGCTTTGGTGCTGCAGTTGGCATTTCCAATTGGTTGAGGCGCAAGCCGAGGTGTGTCATCAGATGGGTGCCAAAGACGACATCCACATTGGGTAGGGAAGCCAGTGCCCGGGAGACTTCGTCGGCGGCCCTGATGAAGCCATCGCGGAAGCTCTGCTCTGGCGTAGTGTTGGTGGTGGCTTTTGCTGCGGCAGCGGTGGCCTCGATCCTGGCCTGCTTCAGTTTGCGCAAATGGTCCACAGTGACCTCCAGTATGTCGGCCCTGTCGAATTTGCCATCACCGCTCTGGACCGTGCACTGGACCATCAGATCCTTGAGCTCGTCCAGGCACATGTTGATGCGGGCCCGACGCCTGCGTTCCAGCAGAGGCTTCATCACCTTGCGGTACTGGTAGGTCTTGGAAACTTCGTATTTGGTGGCCATTGTAGCTTAGATGTGTGTTTTCTTGACGTAAAAATGTGAAGAAGTTGAGCGAGATCTGGCTGGGATCCGGTTGTCTTGTGTGTGTTCACTGCACGTCGAATTTGTTGAGAATGTTGCTCTCGTCTCCAGTTACCGCCGCTTTTATAGCTGCACGTGCCGCAGCAGAGTCGTCTCGTGCTCAGCGCGCGCAGAGAGAGCGCGCATGCGCAGGAAACGAGAGAGGCACCACCGGAGCGAGCACCACCATTGCGACCACCTGCCGTCAGCCACTGGGTCGGGTCGAGCCGATTGTCGTTCGTGTCGTCGTTACGAATCGTTACTCGGGCCGACGACCACGATCCTCGCCTGCTTTCGGTGGTGGGTTTTTCTCGACAAACAAGTCGTCTTGGCAGGGGATGAAGATGATGTGATGGTGTGTCTCCTCCATTCCTGTGTTGTTGCTGCTTGCTGCTGCTGCTGCTGCTGCTGCTCTTGGCGGTGGTGGTTGGTTGCACATGCGGCCGATGCACGTGTGTGCGTTTTCTTGTGTGTGCTCTCCTCTGTTTTCTTTTAGCCTGACATTCGAATCGTGGGAAACACTTTGCCCTCAAGTTTCCCACAAGATTTTTCTCGCTCGTTGGTGTTATAAGTTATAATCGGAGGTAGGGAGCGAGCGAACCCCGAGTCCGTGTCTGATCCGAGTCCCCGAGGTCCGAGCCCTTATGCACATGGCACAGTGGGTCAAACCATTGCACACATGCGGGAATTTCCGAATCTCTGCGACCGACTGAATGAAGGCAGTCCACCTACCGATGTACGTGTTTTTTTGGACCTATCTTAGAATATCTCAGGCAAAGTATTCTACGGATTTCCTACTTGATTTCCGGACTCTGTGACGGTGCGTGGGAATAAGGTGAGTCTGGGAAGGTGTATGTGGTGCAATTTGCACACATGTGGGTATTTCTGGATACCTATGACCGACTGAATGAAGGTTTTCCATCTATGTACGTGTTGTTTGAGACTTGTGAATATTTCAGTATTCTACGGATTTAAAGGTGGCCTGTGTTCTACTTGCTTTGGTTAATTTCCGGACTCTGGAACGGTGCGTGGGAATGCGAGTTTTGGAAATAAGGTGGGTCTTGTAAGGTTGATGCGTTGTAATTTGCCAGGGACACTGATTTAGGGACTTTCTAGGTGTAGTTTGTGAACTGTACGGAGTTTTGTGCTAGGTCTGGCATTGCAGGTTAATTTTTGGGTGCTGGAAACGTTAAGGAATTCTGGTATTTCCCTAAAAGATGTTGCTAAGGAAGGTTAATGGAAATGTTTTTTTTTTTTTTTGCAGGATGGTATCAGTATCAGTGTATCAGTGTATTGGTGTTTAATAGTACTAAAGTTATAGTTCTATAAATTTGCTTCACAAACAATTCGCCATTAGTTTTTCAGTCACTCGTACCACTGTAAATCTGACCGTGCTCCGAGTGCGAGTCATGGAGAGTGGTGAAAAAAAACTACCACCTGCCCTTTATTTTACTTAATTTTTTTTCTTGTCAGTCGTGGGCCCAATAGGTTCTCTGTCCCGCTCCCGCTATCCGTCTCCTTCCCTCCTGCAGGTCTGTTTTGTCAATTATGAATGCTGGAATTGTAGCTTCTGTTGAACACTTGGGCCAAGGCAGGGCCAGGGGCAACAGAGAAGGGAACGCTAAGTGGCATGCCCGGGCACGTCGGGACATCATCATCGTGGGACCCAGCGAGGGATATGTATAGGTACAGGGATACGATACGGATGGGTCGAGGGACATGCAAACTAAATGACTGTACGGCAAATTGACACACACTAAAGATTAAATGTATCGCATTCGTTAACTATATAAACAATATACGTGGCCGGTTTAAAAACTCTTGACAGGAAGTCTGGGCCAAAGACAGAGACAGAGACAGAGACAGGCTGCAACGTAAAGAAAGAGAGAGTAAGAGATGGAGAGGCAGAGGCAGAGGCAGAGAGACTTGCGTGCTGAGAGTGTGCTGAACAACAAGCCGTTACAATTTTCTGTCGAGCGTCGAGTGTGAGAAAATTTTTCGAGTTGCACATGGCCGTGCCTCACTCCACATCGCCATCTCTCTAGATAGGGGCCCATTTGGGCACGCAACGGGGTTGGGCTTATTGTCAATGCAGCAGCATTATATTTGTGGTTGTTGCAGCATCGACTACTACTGCCTCTGCTGCTGCTGCTGATGTTGTTGTTGTTGTTGTTGTTGCTGTTTCAGTGGCAGCGCACTGTGTAATTGAATATGTATGCGCGATGCGCATGCCCGGCACGCCAAACGCGCGACAGACGCACGCAGAAAAAAAAAGGGCTGACCAGAAGCCCGCTGAGCGACGCATGCGGATAAAAAATCAGCAAAAGAAAAAGAGTTGAATTTTTAAGTATGACATTCCCCCCGTCGACACGCCGTTTGTTCATTGAGTAAGCTTCGCCCCGGAGAGCTTCATCTGCGACAGGAAATTATCATTTGTGGGGAATGACAGGGCAGCCGCGTCCTCATTCGCATCGATTAACTCTGATATTTCGGTGGGGATTTGTTCCAGAGTGTGGAAGAGCAACGGGGATTTAGCGGGGATGTTGAAGGTCAAATTCCAATTGGTTTTTCGGGTTGAATGCAAAGGATTTCGACCCAATCGAAGTGGGTTCTTGTAAGATAATGCTGGGTACTGTATGATAAGTATGTGTGATATCCAAGCCTCTTTGGGGTGGTTCCTCCATTCATAACAATCCAATTTGATCTGTAAAAGTCATCTAAATTTACCCCTCAATAAGCCATTATTTAATTGATTTTTGTTTGTTTTATATTTTTGTAAATCTTATAATTTAATAACATTTATTCTAATCTGTCGCTAAAAAGAGTTATTATCACAAATTTATTATGTATTCTTTAGAATAAACGCCTATCGCAGGACTCCAACTGGGCGAGAGAGGATGTGGCACATCTTTTCCGACTGGGCAGCCACTTGTTGCGGGCTGCTATCACGCAACTTGTTTCGCACGAACGTAATGTTGTTTGTGCTGGTGTTGCCGCTGCGACAGCTTCATTCATTCATGGAACGAAATGCGCCTTTTTCTTCGTATTACTCATTCATTCATGCATTTTGGCCGCTTCTAACTACCGGTTTTTTGCGCACGTTGCTGCTGCTGGGATGATGTTGCTGCTTGCTGCTGCTGGTGTGGCTCTTGTTGCATCCACGGATATACAAGGTGTTGCGGTTTCTAGCCTTTCAAGATGTTGCTGCTGTTTAGCAAAAGTTTCTGCTGCTGGTGTTGCATCTATGTAGCGTTGTAGCTCTGGAGATGCTGATGTTGTTGAGGTAGATACTAATTGCTTATGCTAAAGTCTCTGCTGATGAAGGTTCTTTGAGAAATTTCGGCTGAGGATGCTCCTTCGATTGAAGGATTTGTTTTTGTTGCTGCACAAATTGTTGCTGCTGATAATGTTGCTAGAGATTCAATGCTAATGTTGCTGCTGAACTTCTATCCTTTCTGAGAGCAACTTCTGTGGGTGCTTCAGTTGCTCCTTTTGTTGCTGCTTCTGTAGACCCTTCTGTTGCTCCTTCTGTTGCTACTTCAGCTGCCGTTGCTGTGGTGTCTCTTTCTGTTGTTGCTACTGTGAATGCCAATAGAAGCTGCCCGCTGCCGTCTCCAGGCAAATCACCAAATGCTCCTCCTCGCAGCGAATCAGCGTCTCCATTAGCATACGCTCGTTGGCCTGATTCTGGGCAATCTCCTCCAGGCTGTCGTACCGCTGGCTGTCGTTGCTGCCACCATGGCAATTGTTGTGGCCTCTGCCGAAGCGTTGCAATATTTTGGCAAGCAAATTCTTAACTTTCGACATTTTCTTCGTAAACTTTGTAAATTTCACTTTCAGATTCGATGTTCTAAGCGCGTGGGCTGGCAAATTGTAACTGTTGTGGCCTGATGGCAAGTGCCGCGCTTTTATAGCAGAGGCAACCCACCACCGCCACCCAAAACCGCACCACCCAAAACAACAAGTGCCGCCACATGTGCCTGACACATGTGCAAACTCCTCACTGCGCAACAGCAGCAGCAGCAGTATCCTCATCCTCATCATCATCCGCAACAGAAACAACGGCAGCAACAACAGCAGCCCAACAACGTTCGCCTGCCACGCTTTCAGCGTGAGGGACCCCGAAGCAAGCTCAACACGTGCAGGATAATCGTGTCCCCCTGCCTGGCCTGGCCGGGCCCGGTCCTTCCCTTTCCTTTTTTTATTTCATCTTTTTTTTTTCAATATAACGAATGCACAGAATAAATATTGAGAGCGTCGAGCAGTTGTGGTTCCCATGGATAAGGTTCGCCAGCAAACGAGGACTGGCCCTTCCCCTATCCTGGCCGAAGTGAGTGAGTGCGTATCTCGTATCTCTCGTTTTCAGGCTAGGGGAAAAGTATCCCACGGTTCGAGTGGCAGCTGTTTGCAATTTAGGCCACAGCCCCGCTCATTTCGTTGCCTTGCCTTGGAGGACGGCAGTGGCAGTGGCAGTGGTGGTGGTTGTTGCCTCTTCTGACACATATTGCACTTGCTGCTGCCGACCCGAAGCGAAAGCAGAGTTGGTTCAACTTTGGTTAATTGCATCACTCGCCGCCGGGTCACGCGTACGCCGCTCAGCCGCTTTCCACCTGATTGATGTCTGTGGGCCCCGGGCACACCGCCTGGAAAGCTCAGCGTTGCGCCCGTCGTGGTCGCGTGGCGGACAAGTGCTCCTCCGCGTGCTCCTCCTTTGATTGAACGTGGGTTGGCCACGTGTGTGCCTCCGTGTGCAATCCCTGCGTGCAAGGTGCACTCATTTGTGGTGTACTCTCTGAACGTCCTTTAATAGAATTTATCTGGGATCATAATTTAGTTTACTTGTCTTATGGGGTGGTAGGTGGGCTGTTTGGGGGAGGGTGTGGCAGTGGCACGAGCCGGCACTAGGTTGATTTGAGGTTGGTTTTCGAAGAGTCAATGGTGGTTTTATGGGATGTTTTAATTGAGTGGACTCATTGGTTCTATTGGGGTAGACAGACAAGTGGTTGGTCGGGGATGTTCCTAATTAGAGGAAGTGTTTGGGAAACTGATATGATGGCAAATGGTTTCCTATATTCTAAAACACGATTATCCTTTTAGTCTGTAACTTAATGAAGGGGCAATAAATTTAAACGAACATACAAATGTAAGATATAGATTTTTAGGGAGGTTACCTAATCTCCGAAACAGTATACCCAGAGAATCGAAGAGTTACACTTAGTAACCTAAATGTATATTACAAATATATTTGCACCGGTGGAAATTGTAAAAAAAAGTGTTTTTACTTGGTAAATTTTACCATTAATTTGTATTATTCATTTATTATTAATTATTATTACTTATTGTTAATCTATTTTATCCAAATATATTTCCTGTTTAAAACAGATATAATTCTTATTCAAATTACATATTTTTATATTTAAATTTAGTATATTATAATTACTGTAAAGTTTTTTATATTTACATTGAAGAATTTAATATGAATTTAATTCAATCTATTTAATTTCATAATTTTTTGTAAGCCATTTTTCTCATAGTTTGTGTCACCGAAATAGGGATTACAAAATATTGCAAATAATTAAGTTTAGTTTAGTTTATTTAAGTTGTGATTTAAAGGGAATTAAAAATTGATCTTATGACTCTCCCACTTATTGTGTTTTTAGAGAACACAAAAATATTTCAATTGCAAGAAAGAACCCCTCACATGCTTAGGGTATTTTCCCATGGTTAAATACCCCTCAAGAAAGAACAACCAGATTAACACCCAGGAAGTCGGACTTTCTTCTCCCAGACATCTTCAGGCTGTCAAAGCTATTCTAAACATCCCATGAATGGTTCGACTGGTGCTAATGGCCGACAACAATTGTCCACTTATCGTTTGGCTAATTTATTGTGGGCAAACATTTACCTAAGATATTTAACCTGTCAAAAACAAACGAATGCAATGCGAATGCTTCGAGGTGGGCAACCATAATTGGCTCGAAGGATTGCCCAGGCAGTGGTCAACACTAAGTGGAATGGATCATCGATCTAGTACAATTATTCAGCTGAATGGATCATTGATCTCCCAGCTCGCATCTCCTCCAGCTTGAGAGTAGCTAACGATCAATCCAAACTGTCAGCCGGCTACTGTGGGTTCTCACTCACCTTGCTGGCTCGATGGCTCGATGCCTCGATGCCTGGGATCTGTGTGGATCCATTAATGATTTGATGGCCCATTGATGTGGTGCGCCCAGTGCTGTCAACGCCATGGACAGTCCATCCGCCTCACCTTCGCCGTCGAGGCGGTTGCGGGTCCAATCAATGCCAGCTTGAAAGAGCCCTCGTTAAACTTCCTCTTTCGTCTGCGGGTGCGTTCGGATCGCTCGTTCAATTAGCTCATGTCGTAAAGTACAAATAACTATTGCGTACAGTTCCTTGGAAACCCCGAGAGCTTGGCCATAATCATTAAGCCAAGCCAAGCCGAGCCAACCCAAGACGGGGACAAGCCGGGGACAAGCCGGTAGCTGCTGCCTTTGCGACCGTCTCGACGGCAATTTAAATTAAACAATCGTCAATGACGGCGACAAGAGTGAAAAACTAAAGTAAAGCAGCCAGCAATCAGTCAGCCTGTCTGTCAGTTAGTCAGTCGGCCAGTCTGCCAGTCCATCAGTCAGTCAGTCAGTCAGTCAGTCGTCCGTCAGTCACACGAACGACGAACGACGAACGCTACTTGGGCTGATAATAAGCGTCGCGCCGGCGCAATAAATGTGTGCCGACAGAGTGCCCTCATCTTGAGGCTTGTGTTGCTGTTGCTGTTGCTGTTTGCTGCTCTGCTTCTGTGTATCAGTATCTCTGCCTCTATGCCTCATCGTCTATGTGTGCATCTGTGTGCCTGTAATCGTAACCATATAAGCGTCTTAAATGGCAGGTGTGCACATCGCGTGGGAAACACACGACGCGTCTCGAGCGGTTCTCACGATATGAAAATCGAGCAAAACAAACCCAAGATCGAGGGACCGAGGGACCGGGGGACCGACCGACAACCTGACAAGCGTTCGCCACTTTCTAGGGATTCGGATTGGGATTGGGATTCGAAGGGATTGGGGTTCATATTAAGGGTTGTTCGGTGCATGTGCTGCAAGAGGGTCCCCAATAATATCGGAAAAGATTTATGGGGAAACAGACTGGACGAGGGGTCTCCAAGAAAAGGATTGGGGTGCTAAGGATGAGATCACATTAAGACCATCCCATACTAGAGTTACAGATTAGATGGGAGTTGACCTCATATAGGGGTAAGAGCTATTCATAGTCCCAAAAAAACATTAATGAGCCAACCATCAGATTTTAGGTGTCCCATAGTTAAGTGGGGACTGTGTGAACACACAAACCTCAATGACTTTGTGTCCCTTTATTTTATTAAAGATCCTCCAAATATTGGGATACAAAATACAGAGAAAAAGGGAAGATTTCTGAGTTAGAGATGATTTTTATGGAATACCATAGATGATATAAAACGAAGAATCTTCATAGCATGTAGCCTCATGGAAAGATTTCAAAGACACATTACATTTGAGTGCTTCTAAAGATTGTTGTCTTTGAAATCATATTAGAAGCATGCCATAACCCACACATACTCGTATCTATGGACCAGTCCTGTCCCACAGTAAACTCTCCTCCCACCTCTGGCGAGAACAAGGAATCAATAAGCCACAACAAGACAATTACAATTTTCCTGAGTTTGATTTTCATTTGGAACCGGCCCAAACCAAATCAGTTAGTCCCAGACAATTGCACTACGTTCTAGGTTCTCACGTCTTGGCCAGCATTTTACGGTTTAATTGCAGTTACAAAAGGTTGATCAGGACACACACTCCTTGGCTAGACAATTGCCGAGTGGCTGAAAGAATGAAGGACAGACGGAGGAACCTTCTTTGCACAACGATTTCCTTTCCCACGCACGCACAGCAATAAGATTTCTAGAGATTTCTGGCTACCTGCTAGGCAGGTCCTCGCAGCCGGGCGGATCAGGACCTCGACCTGCGGGTATAAAAGGCAGTGCAGCGGCCGACAAGAGCATCATTCTAGCAGCATCCTGCAAACCGTGCACACACACATCTCTTCCATCTGCTCCTCTGCAAAGCAAAAAGCGATCTCAAACGCAAAGATGGCTCCACAGGCAAACAACACCGAAACCGCATTCGTATCGAAGACCCAGCACTATCTGAAGGTGAAGAAGCCGCTGCTGGAGCGCCAGCGCCGCGCCCGCATGAACAAGTGCCTCGACACGCTCAAGACACTGGTGGCCGAGTTCCAGGGCGACGATGCCATACTGCGCCTGGACAAGGCCGAGATGCTCGAGGCAGCACTTGTCTTCATGCGCAAACAGGTCGTCAAGCAACAGGCGCCGGTCTCACCCCTGCCGATGAACAGCTTCAAGAACGGCTACATGAACGCCGTCAGCGAGATCTCCCGTGTGATGGCCTGCACTCCGGCCATGAGCGTCGACATTGGCAAGACGGTGATGACACATCTGGGCGTCGAGTTCCAGCGCATGCTTCAGTCCGATCAGCAGCAGCCCCAGCCCCAGCAGCAGCAGCCAACGCCAACCCAATTGGAATCCTCTTCACGTCCTGCCAGCCCTGCCTCTTCGGGGTATCACAGCGATGCCGAGGAATCCGAGGCTGCTGCCAGCCCCAAGCCAGACACCATGTGGCGTCCCTGGTAAACCATCAACGACTTCGACTACGACTACGAATCCTGTCTTCCATTCAACGACTACGAATCCTGTCTTCCAACCAACAACAACGAATCATGTCTTCCAATTGACTCGTTCTAACTGTGATACCAGCTTTACTTAGGACTTAAGCACACCCCAAGCTTTACTTAGAATTTAATCAACCACCAAGCTTTACTAGTTATAAGAATGAAAAGACACGCAACGATGATCTAGCCTATAAGAAAAACGCAACAACAGCTTTAATAGTTTTAATATAAAACAACTCAAGAAAAACAAAATAACTTTGGTCTTATTTATTGATGAAACAACAAATCAAAGACATTTTCAGAACTCAAATCTGGAAACAGTTTTCGCAACATTCAATAATAGATTGAATATCTTATCAAGGAAATATTTTCGATAATACAATTTTGGTTTAAAGTTAAAGAAGATGATATTTATTTACAGAAGTGGGCAAATAATACGTGCATTTATTGCAAATGATTTACTGTTTCCCAATTGGTAAAATATTCTGATTGTTCATGAAGTAAAACATTTATCGATGTTACAGACAACCTCTCCTACGGAAGAACCTTCAAATTACATATATGCAAATAATTTGCTTCAATTAAGTGTTGACGTTTTTAGCTATCAAAATTAAAGAAAAGAGTCCTTTTAGAGCATTATGCCATAATCATAATAACCTCTGCTATAACCTATTCGGAGAAACATACTTTAAAATGATTGCTTGTAATTTTAACTATTATTTTGGATTCTCAAATTTGTAATTACTGTTTTCCTTTCTTAATTTACTATAAATCCTTTGATTTTAATATTTATAATCCAAAGTTAGCATATAATTGATAAATAAATATTTAAATCGATCATAATGAAATTTGATTGTATTTACACAATTCTTACATTAATTCAGAACTTCTTTCGTCTAGAGAATGTATTCTTTTATCTTGGAGTCCCACAGATTATATTCCCCTTGTAAGTGGCTCAATTCATTCGAATAATTTCTCAGGTTATGTGTGAATTGCACACACATTAGGTTATACCTCCCCCACCTGATGAATGTTTCAAACAAGATCGTTTTGTAAGTGACACCACAGCTGCTCGTTACATTCCCCCGGGTCCAAGTAGGAGGTCCCCGGGCCATAAGCACAATGCAAGACAAGACAAGACCCTGGCCAGGCGACGCCCCCGAGTGGCCTGTCTACGCCCTGATCAACAGCTCGTCCGAGTGGTGCACGTGTTGCTGCCCTGTCTGGATGGATGGTGTTACCGAATCTGCATACCAGAACCCCTGGACAGGGATCACATATCGTTTTCGATTAGGGAGGTTCTGGGACCATCCATCGAGTTAAACCGTCAATTACAACCCCTTTTGTGCAGTGCACGTGCGTGCTGAGTGATGGGCGGAGAAAACTGCAACGGGACTCTTGAGGCCCCGGTAATCGGGCCTTGGTTGATATCCTAAACCAACACTGACAATGCCCAGCCAGAGGTTCCTGGAACTTGCCTCCCGCATATGCGACACACACAATCGCACATACTAATTTGTAAACTAAAAAATACTATAGGGAAAAAAATACAAAATTTAAGAAATCCCAACATGTCGCGCTGTCTCGTGTCAAGTGCATGGGCCTCTCATTGTTTCAGAACACGCGAGTGCCTCTGTAACCCGACGACAAAAGGACCCCACATGTGTGTGTCTGTGGTTGTATCACCACAGAGATTATTGCCTGTGTTATTTTATCATTACAAAACCAAAGAAACCGCCATGAGGTCCCAGCGTTTATATTTAATTCGACTAAGCCACGCGGCTTTTACTCTCTAGCCTGGGGGGTCATATGATTTTGGTGTTTTGCATGTGAGAATGGGTGGTACTGTTTAGGAGACTTAAGGACATAGGAATAGGATAGGAATAGGAAGTAAAATAAAAGATATTCATATCTTCATTATCTTAAATCTTAAAGAGCAATAAATTAAAGGTAAATACTAGTAATTTAACAAAAAGTACACATATTCTTGTTATAAGAATGCTTTTTGTCTGATTTCTATTAATAGACATTGTATTTTTGTTTTAAAAATTAGATTCTTTATAAGAAAGTGGATGAAGTCTGATACGTTTTAAAGTAAAGATAAACTATCAATAGAAAATCTGGAGTAATCACCAACAAAAACTTGTATTTTACTGCAAACGAAAATATTTTTCCATCTGATAAGAGTATCTATGCTTCGCCTTCAGTTTCTACCCAAATACGTCCCTCCCCCAGCGATAAATCTCTGCGGTTGTTATCTTAACTGCAGTACACATGGCCGTGTGCATGTCCTGGCACGAAGACCAGCTCAAGTGCAGCTCGTCTTTCGTTCGGTGGAATTTCGCGCACGCCTTGTTTGAAGTTCACGGTCCTGACAACCTCGAGGAACTTTAAACGAACGGAAATACCGTAACAGATTCGGGCAGTTAACACATTGGGTGTAGTCGTAGCAGTCCTGTAACAGGACCTGCGGAAATCCATGCGCAGAATCCAGAGAGAGGGAACCACAATTATTGGCGGGCGGGCATTTCCCGTTGCCACACATGTGTGAAAATTTCACGTTCGGCAAGTAACTCACGTTTTGGCTTCCCGTTCGCACTTGCTGCATTGTGGACAGATACGGATGGATAGTTGGATGTTTGGATGGGTAGCTAGAGGCAGAGCGGGACGTGTCGGTGCGATGGGCAACGTTGTCTTAGCACACAACACCCCGCTGCGACCGAAACGAGGTCGTCACGTGCACAAACATGAACGTCCACGTTCCCATACCATACCATACCATACCATACCATAATATACCATCCCTCCCATCCCATCCCATCCCATCCCATCCCATCCCTCGATGAACACTTGGTTGGGTTCGGTTCGGTTTTCGGCTAGGAGACAATGGATTGTCAGGGTCAGGTTGATTTTATTTGTATTATTTTTACTTTTTTTTTTCATTTTCTTTCTTTGTGTGTGCGAGCTAATCTACGATTTTGGAACCTTTAATGATCGGACGGCGATAAGAAATCAGTGCACGTGTTCAACGAGAGAGCAGGGGCAAGAGATTTCGAAGAAGAGGGCACCACAGTAGTCGCCAGAAAACCACTGCAGGGGCACCACTGCCTCCGTCTCGCCTTGGACCCCCAGCGGGGCTTTGGTTTCCCATAGAAATGGTTAACTATTTTTATTTGTTTTGGGCCCTGCACGTGGGCACACAATAAAACCCGACGAAAAAAACACACACACAAAAAGTATCCATCAAAAGGGAAACTAGGGGCAATGAGTCGACCAAAAAAACTGAAATACTCTCGTGCTACCCAAAGGACCAAAAACACAATTAGATCAACACAATCCATGCATAATAAGGCCGAATAATGCGGTAGAATGAGTCAACCGAAAAATGGGGATAAAGAAGAACAGTCCAGGCCATACAGAGGTCAAATTCCTAGAAGCAATTCCATAATTTGGTACTGTTTATCCAGCAAAGGACATTGAATAGATTGAAGGCAGTTCTGTCTGCGATAAAAGACAACATTCTTTATTGCAAAAGAAATCTCAATCATAAATATTCTGTATCTTAATAGTGGAAAACTCGTACAGTTTTTTGTAAGGGATGCCATAGGGACGGGACGGTACTGTCTTTTATGCGTCAAGTCTCAATCTCATAGTCTTTATTTTATACATATCTTAATAGGTGATTGGAGTTTTTCTATAAGGGATGGTAGGGAAATGTACCATTTCTTGATTGAACAATAAATATTGACATTTTCTTTTATACATATTGAAAGGATTCTATTGAATTTAGTTTGATATTATTATGGAAGAGTTCTATTTAGATAGATATATTCTAGATCTCTAATCTATATTCGCTCCTGTTGCACTGTTACTATTGGAATTCCACCCAAAGAAAGACCAGATATAATAAATAGTGCAATCAAATATTCACTAATTAATACCCCTAATAATCTGCAAAAGGAAGGTTCTACCCTAATTGGTGTTACTATGATATGACCCAAGGAACTTAAGAGATATTCAACAACTAGGAAGGAACATCATGCATTGGTCGTCCAGAATACTCATAATTCTTATAAATATAATGTATATAGTTTTCGAAATTGAATATTATATTACCTTATTTCGATTTAAATCTATCCTTAAATGATATCATTGTAAATACCGATTAAGGAACCTAAGAAAGAGTTATATTCCCTTCGTTGGATTTAAGCAAGCTTGTTCTTCCTTGGACTTTTCTGGATTTGGGATCCATTGATATATGTAAGTGTCCATACCACCAAAAAATAAGAGCATATCCCTCTGTAATAACTCTACATCACTACCATCACATAGAGTATTAACAGGTCCTGGCATACAGAACAGTAATTATGGCTCTTTTATATATATTATGTCGGTTATATTATATTTACTAGACCATTAAGTTCTTCCATTACTAATTTTGTTAAGTAATTATATATGTGTGATATGATATTCTTAGCAAACCAAAGGAATGTTAATCCTATCCCTAACAAATAAAGATCTACATATCGATTTATTAATCAATTAAAATCAAAGATTGAACAAAAATTATCCTTTCATTCCATTCAATCCACCTTAAAAATGTCCAATTCAAAGGATTGTTCTATTAATAGCCAGCCACACATCTTAGATCGCCCATCTGAAACCAAACAGAACAAAATCCAATCTTATACCCACCCAAAAAACCAAAAACACTAACCATATAATCATCATCACCTCCACATAGAAGATCAATGGCTCCTGCCATACGGGGCAGCAGCAATTGTGGCCCAACTATTGAAACGAACTGTTAACGCCAGCCTACAACTTCTCACCGAAAGAAGACTCCTCTCCTGCTTAATTTGTCCCAGCTCACAACGAGTTCCAAATATTTATGGTTAAGTCAAAGGACAATCCATTAAGTACGGGAGAGATATCCAAGGAGGAGAAGAAACAACCGAACAAATCCTTAGAAACGTTGGCTTCAGCGCCTCACGCGCCATCACGTGTCCAACCCGAGACGGGCACAGGAAAAAAAGAACCACATAAAAAAAGGGACAAACGCTTGCTGTGCGTGTGCTCCTCGTACCCATACCCATGCTCCTTCTCATCTCCATCGTCCTCCTCCTTTTACTACACAGAGAGAGAGAGAGTGCCCCTTAATAAGGCACAGACAAGGGGGAATGGAGACCCCATCCCCTGCTAATTGTCTTCCATCGAGAAACAAAAATTAAAAGCAACTCCTTCGCTGTCGATCCTTGTCCTCATTCTATCCTCCATCCTCCATCAGCCATCCCGCTCTTGGGCAACGCCTCTCCATAGAATTTGATAAATTTCAAATTACAGCGCATTAAATGGTCTCGGTTTCCCCATTCCAGAGCAGAAGCGACGACCCAGTGTCCCAGTATCCCAGTGTCTGTTGTTTGCCTATTGAGCTATGTGATCTTTTGGGATCGGGCATTAATTGTTTGCTGCAGTTCGAGCGTTGAAAATTGAAAATATTCTCCCACGTTCCCGAGCTGCACACGTGTTCAAAAAATCGAAAAGGGATTTTCCCCGCCCCCTCTTGACAGGCTCTCCATCCCGCTCCCTCTCGCTCCATCTCGCTCTCTCTCGCTCCATCTCCCGGAATGAGATAAGTGCATAAAGAGCACATAAAAACCAAAAGTGATCAGCAGAAATACGGATAAAAAAAAAGAATCTCCTTTTCAAAAAGGATCCTTTCGAAAAACTGTGGGAACTGGTAGAAAGTCTCGTTTCTCACGATCCTGCAGCAGGATAAAATTGCCCCATACCGTCAGCAGGTGCGAGCAGGTCGGCACGACATGCCGTCACACTCCGACGCAGGCAGGTTAATGGCGAGCCGTCCGTCCTGGCCCGTCCCTTTCAAAACACACCTGCCGTTTTTGTTGTTGCTCTCCGTGTACCCTCCGAGTGCATCTGTGTGTATCTGTGTGTGCAGTGTATAGGATTTTCTGGTTGGCAGATCGGACACGTATCCTTGTAGTTTCCCACACTCGGTGTTTGTGACCTGCTTGCCTCGTCTTGGGTTTCTCCTGCCTGCAGTCCTGACAGCTACCCTTCGCCAGGGTATAAAAGGCCCAGCGTTCGGAGGATCAGACATCATTCGAGCTCAACGCTTCGTACAGTACACATCTCAGCTACACAGCAGCTACACAACAAGCCATACAACATGTGCCAGAACAAGACCAACGACTCCAACACCATGAGCATCAAATCAAACAAGAAGCTGTCCTACAGCGTCAAGAAACTGCTGCAGAAGATCTTCAAGCAGCAACAACAGCAGCTAGTCGAGGAGGAGCAGAATCTGAAGAACACACTGAAGGCCAACTCTTTGGAGTCCCTTGAATCCATTGAAAACAGCCGAAATGCCGATCTGGAGTCCGCCTCCGTTTGCGCCTCAATGGAGTCCTACGAGAACGAGGCCAACGAGCGCCTCTCCGCCTCCTGCGACATGGAGGACTACGAGCTCGAGCAATTGCCCTCAGTGCCAGTTCACTTTGTGCGCACCGCCCACGGCACCTTCTTCTGGACCGCCGCCTCCGATCTGCCAGCCGACAACGACCTGATCGAGCCCCTGTACTGCAGCACCGCCAACGAGATTGCCGTCTCGCAGTTCCAGGATCGCTGGGTTCAGGCCTAAGTCGATCAGCAGCCACCATCAACGCAACCATGTCTTCCACTTGGGGTCTTCCGGCTCCAGCCACCAGCTTTAATCAACGTCTTCCGTTAATTTTTGAAACAATCCACAAAAATTAACACGCAAGCCTCAACTGAAAGCTTTACAAAAAATTGTGATACATTTTATTTAACATTTACAAAAAAAAAAAACAAAACAACACAAAATATATATACAATTGAAAAGAAAAATAATCTGAATTGTTTTCTATCTCCCTCGCATTGTTCCCACAATTTTCCATTTACAGATCACACGAAAATAATAAGGGACAGAAATCCTTTGTTAATTGGCATGACTCATTTGAAAAACGAGCAGAGCCTAATCCGATACGATCCTGGACCTTTTTTCTGGTCTTATTGTTGTGCAATTTACCTGCCAGCAGGTAGTTGAGGTCTCTTCGGGGGTTGCTTGACTGTTGATTCTGGCCACAGTTCCAACCAGTTTGCAGCGGTTTTCAGGTAGAGAGGATCGATCGTCGTCGCCTGTTGATTGCTCATCATGTGGACCAAAAAACTGGCTCGACTCCAATTAGACGATCCGCTCATGTGAATGAATCAGAGCAGCGCGCTGCAGAAATGTGTTGCATATATTAGGGCTGGTGTTCCTCGAATTAAGTGGATGATCAGTTAATAAGAGTGGATATCTTATATGGAAGGAAACAGGGCTTCTGTTTATTTGGGTTATTTTTGACGTGGATTTATAGATATAAAAACATTTAAGGGAATATAAATCTGTAATAATATAATTTAAATTACATTCGTCCCTTTAGTTCCTTTAGTGTTCCATATCCGATGGTTATTTGATGTTTAGATCATTTAGATTATGTTTAATGTGGAAGATATTTGCTTTTATAAGTGGATAAAATCCCTTCATTTCATCAGATTTAATTTGTTTACTCGATAATCATGTCTAATACGAGTGAAGGGTTGTTGTTGCCCCCTTTTGAAATGGTATACGAAAATCTGTACTGTATTAAGTACTTCTATTTCCACTAATCTGAAATTGAAAAATGGGACTAGCCAAACTCCGCCAAATAAAATGTGTTGTGTTTTCGTTTTTACAATTTTATTGATGTATTTGATGTATTTTGGATATTGTATTTGCCTTTGATTTGTTGTTTTCAATTAACCATAAATTAACATTTATAAATTATTTAAAGCTTAATTTAGATAACTACACTTTGAATAGAGCGCAATGAACTAAGCAACTTAGGAAACGTTTTTAGCAAATTATTAGGAAACTGGCGCACTCCACTCCACTCCACTCCACTCCAAGAAATGAATTGATCTTCGTACTTTCGTTATATCACAGTTGATTAAATTAAACAATCCATTTACAGACTACATATAATTATCGGAACTAGACTTAAAGGTATTTCAAAAGCAATCCGAAACCGATTAGCGATTCGGATTCGTCTGATGTTTGCTATAAATTACTTTGGAAGACAACGGATCTTGTTGCGGTTGCTGTACGCTGTGAGTAGCGAACGATTAATAGCCATTTTTTTTTGGGTTAAACACTAGGGATAAGATCTACGAAATTAGATGTCGTCTGAAGGCCCGCCCTTCACCAGGGCCTCCAGACGGGCTCCGAGGCGCCAGACTCCTGAGAGCTGACCGACGCCGTTTCGGATATCGCCGTGCCGTCCACAGAGGTCACATCGATCAGCTCGTCCTTGCCGGACAGATAGGCACTGTAGCTGACTGCGGCAGCGGCGGCCGCCGGCCCGTAGCCACCCAGCAGCGGGAAGGCCAGTCGACCCGATGCAAAACCGACGGCGGGTCCAGATTGCTGTTGCTGTTGCTGTTGCTGCTGCTGTGTCAGCAATTGGGTCTGCAGCTCAATTAGTCGCGTCGATAGAAATTTCATAATCTTGCGTCCAATCTCATCAGTTTGCTGGGTCTGCAGCAGGACTTGCGTAATCTGATCGGCCGCGTGCACATATCCAGAGCGGAAAGACTCAACGTGGGCGGTGCTGGTGGCGGGCGGTGGACTGCCCCCGGCTACGGGTCCTTGCAGGGAGAGGCCGCCGCGCTGCTTGAGCTTGCGCATGTGATCCACGGTCAGTTCAAGGATGTCGGCCTTCTCCAGGCGAGTCACGTGCTCGCCCTCCTGCTGCAGACACTCGACCATCAGGTCCTTGAGGTCATCGAGGCACTTGTTGATGCGCGCACGTCGCTTCCGCTCCAGAAGGGGCTTCATCACCTTGCGGTACTGATACGTCTTGGACATCTCCATGACCATGTTGTGTCTTTGATCGGATTTGATCTTTGGATATTTATTTTCATAGAGTTTCTGAATCGTTGAGCGATTTAGTTAGCTGCACATTATCACGTCGATTTCTTGGTTTGTGTTTTACGAGTATTATTTCTCTTTGGGCCGCTGCGCGTGCGGTGCGCGTTCTCGGCTGCGTGGCGTTCAACAGGCGGCGCGTTTACGAAATGAGTGGCAAACTAGTTCCCAGCGTTACTTTTATACGACCCCCGTTGCGGCCACACTCTCGCTCGCTCGCTCCTCGCTCAGCTCTCACAAACACAAAGCTCCCGCATGATCACTCACACACATACCCCCACAGTGTACAGTGTGACGGCATTCGGTTGGGCTCGAGCTCGACTTCGGTCTCGGCTCGGTAGCGGCATTCGGCAGCGGCACAAAGAGAGGCTACTGTAAGTCATTGCAGGGGAGCGAGCGGTTGCTGGGGGTTGTCTGCAGAGCCACAGTGGATCGAGAGTACATTTATTAGGAAGATTTTTACGTATGTTGTATATCATGGATAAAATTGTAATGAATATGATATTTGGTGCTTAAAAGTATCTTTAACTTTCATTAACCTGACAAAGCATCCTGCTTATGAGATGGATGTAGAGTAGAGAACATTCAAACCTTTGTTAATTTATAAAATACATAAATAGTTATTTGATTAAAATGTATAGTCTATTTTTTGGAGTAGCACAAATAGTTGAAGTGGGACAGAGAATCAATGGGAATGGTGACACACTTAGATTAGAAAATACTTCTTTTCCAATGTGAACATAATTTCTGCACTGATTCAAATTGATACCAGCTTTTTTATCTTATAATTAAATTGAGATTTTGAAATATATTTTTCCAGGTCACTCCCAAAAAGTAGGCTTTACAAAATGTGAATAGCCCATAATTATAATTAAATAAAATGAAGCAAAATGTGTGATTCCCAGAAGTGATTCCTTCGAATGCATCTTCCACGTTTCATCGTATTCTTAACCACTGTACTCGCGCAATGGGAGCGAGAGCGAGCGTGCCTCGCACTGTGCCTGCGCCTGTGCTCTGGCGCGCGTCGTCTTCAATTGATTGCAGCAGAGCCCAGAGGGAGACAGCCCCAACGTCGGCATTCGGATTGGATCTCATTCTCAGCGACTGCGCGTGGCTCTCAGACTGCTACCACTGCTTCGGCCTCATGCTCTGTCTCTGCCGTCGCCTCTGCCTCTGCCTCTGCCTCCGCCCCGTTGCCTTTGCCCATGTCATACTTATTGTCAATGATGACAGTTGCGCTGCCGCCGCTCTTCTCTACTCGACTCGGAACGGATCGGCTCGGCTTGCCTCGGCTCCGGCTCCGGCTCCGGCTCCCATTCGTTGTACAAGTCGATACTCTGTCTCTGTCCAACAAAGAGACATGGGGGAGCCTACAAAACTACTGTGAGTGTGATTGTGGGTCTCTCTGGGTGCATGCGAGAGTGTGTGTGTGTGTGGTGCCTACTTTACGAGACCGTGGGAAACAGATTTGTCGTGTGTTTCCCACACGTTGGACGGATGGCTGGATTGTGATGCGATCCGATGGATTGCTGAAATGTTGTTGCTGTTACTGCTGCTGGTTGTTTTTCAAGCGGGTTGACTGTGACGATGGGGGGGCAGTGGGCGACCACTGCGGTTCGGTGGGGGGGCGATGGAGATGGCAGGGGGCTGCCTTTAACTCGCGCAATTATGTCGCATGCTTCGCTGATGATGATGACTGCGACAACTACAACTACCACCACTGTGCTTTGGGCTTTGCCTCGACTTTTCGTTGAAGCGTATCGATTAAGTGTAACAGTTTCCCTATCTCCCTTCGCCCCACCCCCATCTCCCCTAGTCGCTGTGTGAGGGATGGGGTCTCCGAAAACGATTTTTGCATAGCCGCCACCACCACCCTTCTAGGCTGCTGCTGGTTTCGTCGTAAACTTTAACATCCGGTTGTCGTTCTAAGATTTGTCGTCTCACATATTAAGTACGAGTATATTTTTTGTGATTCCGCTGATCTCAGGGCTACTGCTGGTCAGCCACAGAGTGTACAAAATGTTGCCTGGTTTTTATGGTCGCCTCTCTTTTTTTTCCGCCCGACTCGCCCGGCAATATGACACTTGTGGTCGGATGCCTCAGAGTTATTTTTCTGGCTTGGCTTTTTGCCTGGCTAAGCATTTCCCATGATGCTGCAGAATCGCTCTGTTTCTGTTTGTTTGTCTTCTGTCCATGACTTCCGCTGGCCGTTTGGCATTCTGCTTTCTGCTTTATGCTGACTGTGGCAGAGCGGCGGCATCAAAATTAAGCATCTCTCGGCCGAGGCATTGGATCGGCTTTCGAGATCCAAGACTCCTCTCAACTTTCAACTCTGCTGCCGGCACACGTGGCGTATGAGCAATGCAAAATAACCATCAACCGCAAAGCCATTTTCGACTAACCTCAATGCACACTAATTGCTTGTCATATACGCTTATGTGTGTATGTCTATATGACCACAATATGTGTGTATGTGTATATTGCTTTGCAAAAAACTTGTTGCCATCGCCGGCCATCGTGTGAACCAAGAGCTTAAAAGCCAAATAGTTGCTGATGGGCAAGAGCGAATCGAGTGGCAGTAGAGAACGAATCGAAGATGCTCTAAAATGAGAGGGTCTCCATTGAAGGATCCCCTGTTTATTCCCCTTTACCACCATACATTATCCTCACATACTTTGCGATAACAGTTGAATATACATATAAAATACCCCAATCATGGCTTAATTGTATAGCACCTGGATTACTGCAATTATAATTGTATTATTGTAGTGCCTTAAACACACAGATTTTGTGAAATACCCTACCATAGATAGGGTACAAATCGCCTAACGACTCGGCTCAGACCTCTGTCTGTCCATCCATAGCATCCATAAGGCTCAAGTCCGGGCACAAGCTTACCTCAGCTGGAGCTGCCATCGCAGGCAGTCACAGAGTTGGCTTCGAGCTGGGGGCTAGAGTCAGAGACAGTCGGTCGGTGTCCGTGTTGCCAACTCAGTCGCTTTCAATTTAGCAAACGTGCAGTTCAAAGCCTAGACGCTGATTGGGGGCAAATGTGCGCGGTGTGCCCAGGGGGCCGAGTGCGACTCCGCCAAAGATTAATAGCGGCCAAAGGCAAGAGTCTCTGGTGGGCAGGCGTGCGGTGCACACGCGATTGGCACGAGTTTCGGCAGCCTAGGCCGCCGAGAGGCAGAAACAGAAACCTGGTTCGGGCCATGAGCTCGTCTAACTAGTTCTGCCCGGACTAGTCCGTCTGTCCCGGACGCATCGACGGACAGAGAGGGGCTAAGTCCGATTGTAGTGTGTGGGAACCGAACCTGCGAGCGAGGCAAGGACTTGCAGCTCGCCCGAATCAGGTCACGGCCTCATTAGAACCTCACTCCATCACATCACCATCCCCCATCCCCCATACCCATACCTGTACCCATTCCCCATCACCGACTACATCCAGATTTCCTTCTCGGAGCGTGTGAACCACAACATGTCATAATCCCCTCGGTGCCACTATAGTCGTAGTCCCTTTAAAATGAACTTATCAGCGCCGGGGCTCCGAGCCTTGATTATAAATGACAACAAACAGGCCAACAAGTAGCAATAACAGCTGCTCAGCCCCTGCAGCAACAGCAATAACAGCAAAATCACCACGAAAGGAAACAAAAATAAAAGCAAAAACAACAACAACAATAATCGTACAACCCAAAATCCGAAAACCCAAGTGAAATTCTTATAAGCCCTTTCCCACACTCGCAACGACGTCGACGCTGTCGAAGACATCGACCACGACGCTGCGCCTGCGTTTTGTGTCCCAGGACGGAAATGGGCAGCGTCTTAGTCCCAGCGATCTGAAAAGGGAACAGGTGCTGGCAGGTCCCCTCTGGGTAAACCATTCGACTACGTCACTGTGGCGACCCTAGCTACGAAGCCGGCTGGACAACAAACCCATGTACTACTGCGCTGCTCCGGGCTCCGGGTACCGTGTGAATGTAAAAACAAAGTCAGTCGTGCATAAATGACGAACAGGCGATCCACATAGTGGTACAAAGTGCATTGAAAAGTGGTAGAATATTAACAAATAAGGAAGTGGATGGAAAGAGGAGTAGCCGTAGAGGGTCTAGAGTACTGAAGGGAAAGGGAAATACAAGAATCAAGGTTCGTTACCTACGAACAGAAACTAAGGATCGATATAACAATTTAACTGTTTTCAATAATTATTTAAATATTTAAAATATATAATTAAACTTAATTTGTAGTGAAATATTTCAAATATTAATAATTGATGTATTTCTATTATCAAAATTATTTGGTAGTTCAGAAAGGATTATTAGGAATATTAATAATGGTCAGATTTTCAATTTCAATTCCAAAGCTTTTGGAAATCCTAACAATAAGAACTAAATGCGTTGTTAATGCGGTTATACGCATTCTTGGACCACTGTGCGGCTGCCAGAGCCTCTGCCGAAGTCGTCGTGGTCGTCTCCTCCATCTCCATCTACCTGCAGCCGAAACTCATCAAGCGGCCCTTGTCGATTGTACGTGCATGGGAAAAGTACACACACAGAAGAGCCAGAGCGGACGGAGCTTGTGATTCCTGTTGGAATTTATTTGGGAAATACGCGCACATAAAAAGGCTGCCAGGCCCGTTTCCCCTCTCTGGTTCTCCTGTTCCCAGTCACCACCACTCACCTCTCTCACCCCCACCCTATTACCTTCTCACCCTCACCCTGGTGTGTGTGAGAGTGCACTCAAATTTCGTACGGTGCTTGGCTGTTCTGCTGCCGTTGCCATTGCCGCTGCTGCTCGTGAGATCAGCCGGCATACGATTTCACTCTTGACTGGCCATCGGCTGCGCAGCGGCAGTGCCTCATATATAAATATGAGCGACGCCAGGCGCAGCAGCATCAGTAAACGACCAGCTCTCGCGAGGTGCGCACACGCAACGCTCGCTGCACAAACCAAGAAAAAAAGCTCTCAACACACACGACTCGAAAGAAGCTCCGCTCTCTCGCCATGTATCTAGATACGAAAAACTTGACGGCCAGCAGCACCAACACCAACACGAACAGCAGCAGCAGCAGCATCCACACATCAGCTTCGATGACAGCGACAGCAGCAACACCTTTGGGCGTGCCCAAGACTGTGCGACGCATGCGCAAAGTCTGGCAGCCCCTGCGCCGCCTGCTGACAGTGGGTGGCAAGGGCAGGCCGGCGCCCCTGACACTGGCCCACCCCAACAATGTGGATCTCAACAACACACAGCAGCAGCAGCAGCAGCAGCAGCAACAGATCGAGCTTATCCTCGAGGATGAGAGCAAGTCAACGCCTGAGGAGTCTATCTACAAGTACGGGGCGGAGCTGAGGCAACTCCCCGTGGAGGATGAGGTGTCACTCACCCAGCCCCCCAACACGCCCACCCTCATCAGCAGCGTCTATGTGGAGAAGGCCAGCGCACAGAGTTGTGGCGCCTGCCCCCACGGACGCAACTGTCAGCACACACATCACAACAGCAACAGCAACAGAAACACGACCACGACCACGGCAACATCAAGTGCAACTGCAGCACAGTTGCCCAGCAATCTCTGGGATCTGCAGTTGCCGTTGCAATACATTAGCACCGATAACGGCACCTTCTTCTGGGCCAACACCCAGGAGCGGGTGGACGACGACCTGCTGCACGCCCTACTCTGCCAGAGCTTCAGCCAACTGCCCGGCACCCTCTGCTAGCTGGATCTCCCACATGTTCCAGCCACCCCCACCCCCAGTACACAGATCTCTCACATTAGGGGGACACTCCCCCTAATTATTGTAATTTCATTTATTTATTCTCCTGCGCAATATATACGTTGTTAATGTGATACTAATTTGCATATAAAATTAAATATACACTACATACACCTTTGTAGCATACAAATGGAAAAGAACTAGAATCCCGTTTCTATTATCATGGGTGGGGGATCAGCTGATCGGATAAGCGAAGAAGAGAGAACTGGTTGGGGTACTCTTACGCATAACGGAAGAGCGGAGATGAAGACAAAGGATAACGGAAGCTGTATGATGAGTGGAGCCTAATGAGGCTTGACAGATGAACGGTCTGTGCCGAGCTGGCTAACGGTCGGGCTGGTAAACTGATAAGTTGAAGGAGTTGGAAAGCGAAAGAGGTAAGAGGTAAGACGGTGGTAAGGGGGATGCTCTGCCTGGTATCATCTTGCAGAGGAGAGGATGTCACGTGGATCGGTTGAATGATTTCATTAAAGAACATGAGACGTTTTTTTTGGTTAGGTTTGGAGGATGCATCGGATATACAGGTGTATACTATTGCAACATTTTGCCTAAATTCATGTAATATTCAATATAGGACCACCAATTCTAATGATAAGAACAAAAAAATGTACAAAAAAGCCAGAATATACTCTAGATATGAAGTTCAAACTGTGTTAAAAGTCTAAAATACAGCAGAATTCCCCTTCAAGGCGCCTGAGCACTCATTGGAATAGTCCCTGGGTTCAACGTCAGTAGCCGTCAAGCGGAATTATGTTCATATGTATATAGACCTACTGAAGGACCCGGTAAATTCACATATGTATATAGTATGGACCGGCAGGTTCCAAGGTGTTGATGACAGAAGGTTGGCACTGTGGGAAACGAGGCACAGACGAGGCCAAGCCGACCAGCCGATGCTTAAGAGGCTGCTATATATTCAGGAAACCTTTGCCTGTAGCCTAGCCTTTGTTATATTTACGTCTAACGTCTAACCATGTCTAACCGAATGACCCGAAGTTCGCCAACTGTCCTGTCTATAAATAATTGTCACTTTCGTTTTAGGCCCGCTGTGCGAACCCTAATTAACAAGTCCTTTACATTGTCCAATGCGATTTCTTTAAACAAATGCACATGTATATTTTCCAAACAAAAAGAAAACTATTTTAAACAAAAGAAGCCTGTATTGTTCCGTTCAGATTTGGGTCCTTTCTAGCAGGTCGAATCGCGCAGGACACGGAGCAGCTCTGTGGGCTGGGCGCCGGTAGCCTGCAGGGCGCAGTTGAAGGTCTCCAACAGGCAGACGTTGCTCAGGTGGGCACGATACTTGCCATTGGTCACACAGATCGGCTGGTAGATCATCGAGCAGGGCTTGAAGCACTCTTCGCGGTCGAGTTTGAAGCTGCCCATTTTTTCGTGGATATTGTCCACCAACTCGGAGCTGCACCAAGCGGAATCGGTCTCAGCATAGGCTAAAGAAAGAATAACCTCATTCTAGATAGAGTTTTGGAATTTCGTATTATATTAACTTACCCGCAACGTTGTTGCGCTCGCGGCGACAGTTGTCCGACTTGAGATTGCAGTCGCTTGCGAATTCCTTGAAGTTCTTTCCATCTGTGGCGCACACTGGACGGTAGATGGCGGCGCAGAATTGGGGACAGTCCGTGGCGTTGGTGGACACCGTATTAGCGGCGATGCCAGTGACCAGGGCCAGGCAGCAGAGGGTTAAAGTTTGGAACATCATATCGATATTGTTATATTGAGGTTTCTGTATTTTTTTCTTTGAGGTAAAGCGTTCACTTTGTAGGAGCTATTGATTGCAATTGCCGTGACTGTCTCGAAAGTCATTGATTTATATATATTTTTACGGCTCACACCCACCTATAGATAGCTTATCAGTGCGTTCCAGTCTGATAAGACCAGGCCCCTTATCAGTGGGCCCAAACAAAAAACTTGTTTATTTGGTCTACAAAGTTCGACGTGGTGCCGGTCTCCATGGGTGACTAACATTTTGCTCTACAAATTGGGTTGTCTACTGTCTGTACAGAATTGTATCGGGGTCCCAGAACAGCATCATTGAATGTCGGGCCACTATCTTGTATCTCTCGCATCTAACAGCCGTTCTATGTCAATTCCATTGATCATTTTGTGCAAGTATTATTTTTCTTGCTGATGTTGTTTTGGCAACATCTTTTAGCCGTGATAAGTTTTGTTTACAGACGTCTGTGTAAAGACGGCATCGTTTTTTTGGGAAATGATTCAGTGTTTTTTGTGAAACTGCGTGGTACTCGTACTTTTTCTAGACTTTTAGTAAATAGGAGAAAATCAGAAGATCACACCTCCATATATTCATTTCTATTTGAGTATTAAATGAGCAAAATTTACGAGCTAAGTCCAGCGTTTTGTAATGATTCAAAAGGAATGCGTTTAAAATATTTTAAGGAAGCTTTTGTTACCGCATTATTCGAAGGAGTCTAGAATCTGCCAGTCATTAATTAGCTTAGTTTTTGGCATACAACAACATACCCCCTCCATCCTATCCTCCATCCATCTCTAGCAGCCACAACATTGACAAATGATTGTGTGGATCTTTCCTCACACTTCGATCTAATTCGGTTACAACATTGTGATCGCCCACATAGCGCATCGCAACTCCCAATCTCCATGGGGTAATGTTAATTGAGGCCTCGCCACATGCCACACATGAGCGCACACACACACACACACACATAAGAGTAGCTCTTGGCTTAGACGGACCAATGGTAAGATAGAGAGAGAGATAGAGACAGGAGTCGTGGTGAGGCCTAATCACCGTTTAATGGTGTTCACACACTTGTTGCTGACGGCGCCCTCAGCCTCAACCCCAGCCCCAGCCACAGGCAAGTGGCCCAAAAGCCAGCACGGCATAGAGCTGGCTAAAAACCAGCAATAACAATGTTGCTTGCCCGGCCAATCAATGACCGCTAAGCGTATGCCCGTCACGCACGCGAAGGCCGCCACCGCGGTTGTCGTCAAGAATTGAGTACACACGCGTACATTAAACCCTACCTCAGAGACCCCAGACCCCAGACCCCAGACCCCAGGGCCTCAGCAGAACCGAAGACGCAGCCAAGACAGCAAGGCGCAGGATCAGGTTGGGCTTGTATTTGTGTACTCTGTACAGGTATGTAAATGAGGAATGGCTAAGGTACGTTCCATGTAGATAACTATCAGACTCCAACTCCTATCCAACGCTATCATCATTATGACCATCATGAACATTGTCATCAGCATTATCAACGGCATTCCACGGTTGGTTCTGTTCCATTCTGTTCTGTTTGGGTCTGTTCGGGTCTGTTCTCTCTCTCCCAATTTCAATTCTTTCGTGCAGACAAACGCCGCTTTGCATACGAAATTAATTATGTGCTGTCAAAGGCAATTTAACAGAAACTTATATTGCTACTTAATTTACGTCACGGCGCTACCAGAACTTTGAATACCTCTTACTCAGGTAACACAGGGTATATTGCATTGATGTGGAAGGACGTAACAAGGCGTTTACGTAGTACGTAGACACATCTTTGTTTTATGATGTGGTGATGTGATCTTTGCGGTTTCGGTTTACCATCAACAAAAACATGGCATACGAACACCTTAACTTCTGATACTGAAGAAGAATACTTACTATACATACTCGCAAAGGTATGTTCCTATGTAAATAAAGTATAATTACAATCATTAAGTCGTCAAATCATAGTTAAAGAAAACACAGAAAGCATTTACAGTTTTGAAGAACAAATTTAGGAACAACAAAATATATAAGTCTCGATACCTGTAGCAATATAAGCAATCAATATATACAAACACGGAATTAATAAGTTTAATATCTCGCTTTAAAGAAATATCCTTTGATTGTGCAGATTATCTAAGGAAACGTACTAATCTGAGTTCAAGAAAAAGTTAATAAAAGGCTGGCTTGAGGGGTATTTAGTAGGTCTTCTCCCAAAGCTAACCTTTCTTTCTTTTTGTTGGTTTGCTGCTGACATTTTTGTTCTTTCTTTTAGCTACTCCTTCTTTCTACTCCTTCTCATGCTGTCGACATCAATTTGCATTTTTAGTGTAGGAGAAATGCGTTTGTGATTGATAGAAAGAGACAGGGTGTGAGAGAGAATAATATTGGAATGAGAAGCGGTGCAGGTGTGGTGGAGTGGGGGGTGGGGGGTATCGTTTGTGATTCTCTAGCAAAGGCGATTATCTTTTGCGGCAACTGTTTTTATGCCCAATTTCAACGTCCGCCTTGAGACGCCTTGGCATGTGATGTGCTGTCTTGAGGTGTTGACGTCTACATGTTGCATTTTAATTGTGGTTTTCGGTTCTCAGTTCTCCGAGTTCTTTGCTTGCTGGGGGTTTCCACTCGAGACTCCACAGTCCACAGTCGACAAACCACACTGCACACTGCACTCCCTCGCCGGCACATAAATAAGTTGTACGACAAGCGACAACAAGCCCGTTGTCCGTTGCCAGGAGCTGCCGTGAAGTTATGCGCACGATATCCATATTTGGTCGCACACAGGTGGCGATGGTGGCCTTAGCCAAGGTGATAGCCGTAGTGGCTGCCACGGCCTGCGATCGCATAATGTGTGTTGCCTCCAATTGGCATCGCGCCAAGGTAGCACTCGTGCTCTCTCTCTAACTCTCCAGATGGTCGTGTATCACACTTCTAGCCGCTTGCCGCTTGCAGAAGATTGATTTTTCTTAGTTCGATTTCAAGGTTGTCCATTTAAGGATTCACCTATCTCAGGAATTGACTTTCATCTATGAGCGATGTCTGGTTTATGGCAGGATGTGTGTTGGAGTAGCAGTTCGCGGAATTCAATGATGACCCAGATTATGGGAGAACTTTAATGAGGTGAAAATCAATTATAGGACATATCTAAGAAATTGTCATTGATCTTCTTTGACCTACAAATGTAATGGAATAATTTTAATTGAACTAATCTTAGAAATGGGAGAAGTCTAGGCGAAAATTCACAATGTTCTTAGATCTAATAACTATTTTTTTTTATAATTTAGACACATGTAGATATCGTACATTTATAGTCTAATACATCTTTAATATCTTTGATTGCTGTGAATTTTTATATGCGAATACTTTATGCATAACTTGTTTAAAATTCTCAGATTCTTTTCTCAGATTATTCACATTCTCCAATGAGGTTTGTGTTGCACTATTGCCATTTTCCTATTTGGATCTTTCCAGAAACCTCTTCTGGAAATATTACTTTAATGATTTTCAACCGTCTTTAAACATTGTCATTACAAAATTGAATAAAATTGTATATTAAAGTGTTCCATTTGACACACTAAAAAAACATCTTCTGTTATTGCCATTTATCTTCCCTTATATTCCCACTATCTTTGTTTCTTTGTCGCTCTCCTCCATTGACGTCATAGGGGAATAACCTTATAGCAAGCATAATATGAATTGTTTTCTCTGCATTTATCACACCATATCATATTCTAGAAGAGACTCGAAACATCAGAAAACTGTACATGTAGTAGTTCTTATCAGATACTCGACTTTGAGCACAATCTTGAAGCATGACAACAAACTACTCATTCAAATGGAATTCGAATCAAAACAGAGAAATCTTTGAATGAGAAGAAGATCCAAACAAAGATATTTTCTTCAGCTGAAACCCAATATCCCGAACCCAATTATAAGATAATTCAATTTGAGTTTGATTTGTTCTTGTTTTGTATTTTGTAAGATTATTTTTAAAGCTCTTGTTTTTCTATCACAATATCTTAAGATCTAATGGAAGCGCTGGATCGCCGAGTTGAGATTGTTTTCCCGCTGAGTTCGATGCGTGGAGGAGTTAAAGCCGCTGCTGCTGCTATCACAATGTTGTAGTCGTTTTAAAGCTGACGATTGATCGGATCAGTCATGATCAGGATGGTGATGCTTAGGCCTGGGCCCAACGATCCTGGAACTGCATGGAGTAGCAGAAGGCGGGCTCAACGCTGGCCACGGGCTGCAGGTTGGTGGTCCAGAAGAAGGTACCGGCCTGGGTGCGGGCGAAGCGGACGGGAACATAAATGTCCTCCTCCTGATCCTCCTCGATCATCTCGATCTCTTGGGAGTGGGCCATTTGAGCGAGTTTTTCGTTGGCGGCGTTCTCATCGATCTCGGCATAGTAGGCCTCCTCGACTTGGGCGTTGCGCAGATTGTCATTCGACTCGAGGGACTCCAGCGAGTGGCGGTGGGGGTGCTGCTGCTGCTGCTGCTTCTGCTGTTTCTTGAAGAGCGTCTTCAGGACCTGCTTGATGCTGTAGCTGGTCTTCATCTTGTTGTTGCTGTTGTTGGCAGCGGGAACGACAACGACTTGTTGGCACATTTTTGGAAATTTGGTTGTTGGATGCGTGTGTGTTGCTTGAAACGCTGACGATGTCAGAATGATTTCCCAACCGGCAGTGGCACGGCTTTTATAGCCGGCTCGGTGCTCGGCGCTCGAAATGCATTTCCTGTGCGCTCACAGCGAGATACCAACTCGAAGGGAAACAGACAGAGACAGGGAGAACGGACCCCTCCGACAGACACGCGTGTACGTGGTACGCACCAGAAACAACGACAACAACCACGGCCAGCCCGAGGAACGCAAACAGAGCAACGGAGGGACCCGACCCCGACCCGACCCGGTTCAAGCGTGTCGTACCTCACCCTCATTGAAGCGACGACCACAACAGATAATCGGGAGGAGACAGAGAGAGAGAGAGAGAGAGAGAGAGGGATCGAGAACCTGAAATACGACGCTCGCTGAGAGTATAAAGGAGCAGGAGCAGGAGCAGGAGCATGAATCGGAGTTGGAGAAGGTTCAGGAGCAGGTAGACGGGGACAAGCCTGCAGCTCTGTGGAGGAAGTCTTTCGAGAGAGAAAGGGAGAGACTGCATTAAAGGAAACAAACCCCTACAAAAAACTGCAACTGTCCGACGAAGACGACTCCGAGTGTGGGAAACAATTTTTCGTTGGCCTCAAATTTTGTAGGAAATGTATTCAAGTGCCTCAAGAAATCCCAAAAGTAAGCAGAGCACAAACCCACACACATAAAGACGGGGGCACACACGGACAAAGGGCAGGTGTTCCTTCGTAAAATTTCTCACGACCGAAGGAAGCCCAGGATCAACAACGGGGATCGCATGGAAAAAGGAGTTGCAAATTGTATTCCTAATGGGCAATCAACATAAAGGCTGAGTAGGGGACGGACCCCGACCCTCTGTTCGTGCTCGAGTTCGAGAACGGGACCCCAAGACCATTCCCACGCATTCCCACACATTTCGTCCTGGTTCTGGTAACCGAACCATCACCATCGAATGAAAAGAAAGGAAAAACGGGGTTGAAGTCTTCTATTTGTATAGGCATCTCGAATCACTTGTTTTCGTGTTTTGATTTCCAGCTTTCCCACAGGGCTCTATGAATCCTCCACCACCATCCTACCACCACCAACCATCCGCAGCAATAAAATACGGACTTGCCACTTGTCTTCGATTTCACTTCGAATGCTCCCTCCCTTGGGGTGCAAGAGGGGAGAGGGCTCGCAGTGGAATTGGAAGGGGCACACAAAATCGTATAGATATTTTAATTAATTTCTTTTCTTGCGGTCCGAGTGTGCTGAAAGTGTGGAACGTTGATAGGGAGGGTTTTTAGGGGATTATCGATAAGGCGGCACAGAGAAAAGTGTGTGCGGAGCGAGCTGGGGGAGATCTTCAAGCCGAGAGACCATGAAACATACTTTGAGATACATTTTAATGACTCGGCAATTGGGTAGGGGAGTTTGTTGGACCTTCTTTATAGGAGGGATCTTCTTCATAGAGGGACGACTCGTTTTTTATGGTCTTTTACTTATCTGTGAGGCTAATGGATGGAACAGATTGGACCCCCGTCAAGAGAAGCGAAGCTGGCAATGTTTATGTGAAATCAGAATCTAAAGTGCGCAAGGGAAAGGGAGGATAGCACTGCTCCCCTTATCAGGACGGGGCCTCCTGTCAAGGGGGCATTGACAGTTTACACTTCGAGGGGGTATGATGATGATGCATCTCCGTTCTGCTGAGATGCTGATGGTGATGCTGGTGGTGGTAATATGATATATGCACTCGAAAATCTTCAGAAAAAATAAAATAAAAGCCTCAAGCCCCAGCAGTCAAGCCCAGTGCCAGTTCCAGTTCCAGTTCCAGCTCTCCAGTCTCCATCTCCATCTCCTACTCCGCTTCAGTCTGTGGCAAGATAATGGGCAACGTGCCAAGTGCCTCGACCGTGTATACACAACAAACAGTGCATAAAAGCAGGCGGAGGCTCCTCAGAGCCATTCACAAGCCGTGGGGGGGGCCATGGGAGTGGGAGAGGACTACAACTGGGGACTGGGACTGGGACTGCAGTAGGAGGTGTGCCGGGTCTTTCATGTGATCTCCGAACAGAGAGCGGAGTATGTGTCGGCATCCCAGCAGCAGCGGCAGCAGCTTTGGCGGATGGCAAACTGGTTTCTCGGTTTTTGGATCTTTACATACACCACACCACGAGATGCCAATGCCAACATGGATACACACTCATACCATCACTGGCATACCCTCTCCACATACTTAACGCTCGGGTATGACGAACAAATGTGTAAAGCATTAAAAAAGAGATCTAAAAAAATACAAAAAAAAGAGTGGAAAAAAAAACAAAAGCGTCGACCGCATCCTAAACAGCGACCAGCAGCAGCAGCAGCAGCGGCAGCGGCGGCGGCAACGAGCCAGAGTCAGAGACAGAGACCCGAGCCCCAGTCCGCAGTCCCAGCCCAAGCCCCAACCAATCTTTTCAAGTTGATCCCCATCAAGATATTATTTGACAGCAATGAAACGACTGGCACGAGTTTGTTTCCCACGGTCCGGAGCTGTCTCGGTGTGTATCTGTGTGTGCCTCATGCTGGTGTGTGTGGGCTTGCGGGGGGGATCGCTGGCGGCTGGCTGTGGCTGTGGCTGGGGCTGGGACTGGGGCTGGTTGCTTTTCGCGGCGCAATAAAGTTGAAAGCGCACTGTTGGATATAAATTAATTCAACAACACGCTACAGTTGTGTGTGGTTGTTGCTGTATCTCTGGGTCTCTGAGCTTTGCACGCTCTCGTGCTGCTGCTGCCGCTGCTGCTGCTGCTCCACCGATTCCTTCCCTCTCCACATCTGTGTGGCGGTGGCGGCGGCGGCGATCGGGGGCCCCAAATGTTGGTCGCTGCCGGCTCAGCGGGGGCACTGAAATTCGCGCGTGCGTATGCCATCGATAAAAAAAATTGTTGAACAGAAAAGCAACAAAAAAAGGAATACATAAAATGAGAAATAATAAAGCGAGAGAAATGAGGTCTTCGCTGGGTACTCTGCTCTTTCTGTGTGCCTGTGCCTGTGCGTGTGTGTGTGGATGATTGGGTGTATAAATTCCAGTTGGTCTTGAACGACTTCAGGATATGCGCTACACATTCGCTTTGCACAATCTTGCGAAATCTGACGATGATGAGGCATGAGTCATGGGGCATGGTCTTGAGGAACCTGTCTCTCTATAAGATACGTACATTTCTTCAGAAAAAATTAAGGGTATGTTTCTGCCAATTAGGGGACGTATGATACAGCAAATTAAAATCTATTGTAACTTATAAATTAGTCCATTAAGGGCACGTGCTGGTCCGACAACTTTCGTAATTGTTCCAATTGGTATTAATGATGGAAAGATTTAGCAGTGATTGAAAACAAGTTCAGCTATGGAGAACTTAATTATGTGCTATATAGATTGCAAGTATTTTACACTTATTTTATCATTACTTATCTCTGAACAAATTATTGTTGTAAATCATTACAAAAGGGGACCAATTATCGGGATCGCTACCCTTGTAGAACAATCCATTACGATTCCCATTACCAACCCTCAAAAACACAAGGCCGTCAACCTCCCAACCCCTCCCTGCTACTACTATAGCCAACACTTTCCAACACTGTCAGCAGATAATGTCCAATTAGCCATTTCCGGAGCATTCAGCTTTTTGACATCGGCCGTTTAACGGTCCCGTAGCGGCTGACAAAACGATTCGGTTAGATAAGTTGTTAACTGATTGTGCTGGCCCGCTTACAGGTACGACTATTGTTGTTAGCTGTAGCTCATTGGGAATGCGTCGAGAGGCAATCTTAATTTGTCTCATATGTTGCCTTTTTTTGTGTGTTTTTGCTGTATTTGCTTTAGTCCGTATCCCCAGTTGTTGCTGTTTTTTATTATTTGTGTGTCGATGAGCCGAGCTCGTGTCATCTTGAATGGGATCCACGGCAACGTATCTTCGTCATCGTGGCCACTTCTAATTAAGTATTGTGAAATCTGAGCTCAGCTTAGATGCTCTTAGATGTGTCAGAGATGCTGAGAGATAGCCGGCTGATGAGTGTCGGTATCTGCGCTCTTCCGTATATGTATACTGTGGATGAATCATAGTACCTGTCCTGAAGCTAGCGCTATAAATAGGTATTCCGTGTGCTAAATATATATCGCACACATCATATAGCGCATTCGTGACGTGCCAAATGCCTGAAACACCCCACGAGCCATAACATTTATAGCGTGTGCTAACAACAACCACGGGGCCACATACAACAAAAACAACAACCATACCATCGATCGATTGTAACTGACTTTCGCGCACACGTCGATGCCGATGCCGATGCCGAACCGATCGTTCCCAGTCAGAGCACAGGGCATAGAGTCGGGTCCCAGAGTCAAGATGGTAATTGTCTACAAATAGAAGCGAGCGACGACCCAAGAGGCTCAAGAGCAGAGGCCCAGACCGAAGCCGAACCCAAACCCATACCCATACCCGTAGCCAAAGCCAAACCGACAATCAAGAATAATCATGTAAACGAAAAGCGTAATGCTCGTCCCACGAAACCCACGACTACCACGATCCAATCAATGATCCATAAAGCGTTAAAAAAAATAACACACAACCACCGACCACCGAGCACCGACCACCGACCGAAGAGACCAAGAGAGACCACAACAAAAATGCGCTCTGCCCCGATGACGATTCCACAATTATCAGCGTGCCATAAGCTACTGCAAAAGGGTGAAGTGAAGGCACATGGCAAGAGAGACAGAGACCAAGACCAGAGACCAGCGAGACCAGAGACCGGGCCGGACCGACCATACAAATGAATTGAAATGCAAACATCTTGTTATGGATGGAAGGCATGTGCTCGCTTGGCTGCCGAGTCGCGTCGCGTCGCGTCGCGTCGCGTCGCATCGGATCGGATCGACTTGGAAGCGGGCTCTGCGCGAGGCAGCTCTTAAGGCGGGCCGTCAGTAAGGACGGACGGCCAGACACCCGGACAGACAGAGGGATCGTAC